ATATTGGCTAATCCAGGGCTGGGGATTTAGCTCAGTTGTTCCACCACCTACCTTGCAAGCTCAAGGTCCCGGTACCAAAAAAAAAAAGGCTAATCCAGAATAGGTTCATCCCTAAATTTGCCTTCATCATTCTAGAAAATCTCATCCCACTCCCAGTTTACATGTTGTATTCCATATTGGATTTGGCTCTTGTGTCCACATGTAGGTGTTTTAAGGATTTCCAACTGCAGCGGGCCAACAAGATGGAGTCACGAAAGCAGCAAGAAGATGTGAGTGTGGTCCGTCGCACTGAATTCTACTTTGCTCAGGCTCGGTGGCGCCTGACAGAGGAAGATGGACAGCTAGGAATTGCTGAACTGGAGCTGCAGAGGTTTCTCTATAGCAAGGTATCTGAGATAGACAGTTGCACAAAAACAGCTATATTGGGGGCATTGACCTATCTCAGAAACCCAACTCACAAAGAGAAAAAAGGGGGCTAATTATACATAATTACTGTCTTAAGTACTTTCTTGTCACTAGGAGACAGTACACAACACCCACAACTTAAAGGAGCAGAGGTTTGCTTTGGCTTGTGTTTTAAAAGTTTCAGTCCATGTTCAATAGGCTTAAATATAGAAATCACATGATGTAAGGGTCTAGGAGTAGGTTGCTTACATCACAGTGGTCTGGAAGCATAGATCAAAGGAGAGAGCTAGGGAGAGAGATACATCCTTTCAATTCATGGCCTCAATAACCTACCTCTCCCTACCAGACCCCACCAAACAGTGTCAGCTGTAGTGTCCCGATAATCCAGTCACCTTCCAGAAGCCTAGTCTCTGAGCACATGAAGCTGTTGAGAAACTTTAGATATAAACTGTAACAGTTATTAATGATGGCCACGATTAAAATATAAGTACAACTCTTTTAGAATAATGTTTGTAATATGTAACAACATAGATGCAGGCGAGTTTGATCAAATGCTTCTTGCATTAGCCAGGCATGGTGGCACACTCTTTAATCCCAGCACTCGGGTGGCTGAGGCAGGAGGATCACTGTGAGTTCCAGACCATTCTGGGCTATATAGTGAGTTCCAGGTCAGTCTCAACTACATAGTGAGAGCCTGTCTCAAAAAAAAAAAAAAAAAAAAAATCTTAAGATTATTTCTAGAAGTAATTTCTTTGTTTTGTTTTTGTTTTGGTACCAGGGATTGAATGCACTTAAGCTAAATCCCTGGCCCCCTAGAAGTAATTTCTAGAGGGAAGTAATTTTCCAAGTCCACCTTAGAATAGAGCCATTCTAACACTGACATTCAGCTTTCCCACAATTACCCATTGATAATTGAAAGAGGACATTGTTAACTTTCTGACAAGCTATGTTTGGAAATAAGTGAGGATTTTTTTTTTTTAAAGAGGAAAAATTTATTGAGAGGAAGATAGGTTCTGTCTCAGACAGAAGAGGGGAGTGAGGATATTTTTTAATGTTACAGTAACTAGAATTACTACTAGTGTTTAGTACCCATGAGAAGTATTGGGATAAGAGGGTATGTTGACTGTATGAGACTGAAAGATATGAGAGGTTATGATGAGCATATGGTGAACCTGAAAACAAACAGGATATGTACCAGTCCTCGGGCAGCCTTCTGAAAAGGCTTATTATAGTGGAAGGGGGAGAGGGTCTGTCTTTTTTTTTTGTACTGGGGATCGAACTTGGGACCTTGTGCTTTTGAGACAGGCTTTGGCCCCACTGAGCTAAATACTGGCCCATGTCTTTATAGGTGAATAAGTCCGATGACACAGCAGAACATCTTCTGGAGTTGGGCTGGTTCACTATGAACAACCTCCTCCCCAATGCTGTCTATAAGGCAAGTCTTTTATTTCTCTTTTTTGTTTGTTTTTGCTTTTTGTGGTGGTAAGGACTAAAGGGCGTTGTGGATGCCAGACAGGTACTCTACCCTCTGAGCTCCACTCCCAACCCTATAAGGCAAGTCTTATTTTCCCATTCTTACACTTCTTAGCATACATTTAAAATTGGCCCTTCCATATACGCCCACTATAGGAAATGTGATCTGAAATGGAAGCTCGCCTATTTACCAAGATCATGGCTTTTCCTTTTATTCTGCAGAGGATTTCTGGGTTGATTAATGATAGGGAGAACATTTGGTTGGGCTCTTATTCATTCTGTCCTCCAGGTAGTCCTGCGGCCCCAAAGCTCCTGCCAGTCTGGTCGACAGCTAGCCCTTCGCCTCTTCAGCAAAGTCCGGCCCCCTGTTGGGGGTATCTCTATTAAGGAACACTTTGAGGTTAGTGAACAATCCTTGGGAACCCAGGAACAAAGGGCATTGTGTTACACAAAGCTAGCTATGTGTAAATTCCAAATAGGAGTAAAAATCTGAGGCATAGTGTCTGAGTATAATTACTTCTTTAACCTTTTCCACATTTAGGTAAATGTGGTGCCTCTCACCATCCAGCTGACGCACCAGTTCTTCCATAGAATGATGGGGTTTTTTTTTCCTGGCCGAAGTGTGGAAGATGATGAAGTTGGTGATGAAGAGGATAAGTCCAAACTGGTAACTACTGGTGAGAACTTTTCTAATAGGGTTCCAGAAGATGGGCTGGTAGCCCCAGAGACAAGTGAAGCTTCAGAAAGAGGTTGACAGTTGGTGTTCTTGCTTTTTTATTTTTTAAATATTTCTAGTTATTTATTTATTTATTGGTTTTTTGAGACAGGATCTCACTATGTAGTTGAGACTGACCTGGAACTCACTATGTAGCCCAGGCTGGTCTCGAACTCACAGCAATCCTCCTGCCTCAGCCTCCCGAGTGCTGGGATTACAGGCATGCGCCACCACGCCCCAGCTCTTGCTTTTTTATAGGAATACCAGTGGTGAAGCCTCGGCAGCTGATTACAACAGATGATACCATGCCCCTGGGACCTGGGAAGGGTGTTGCACAGGGCTTGACTAGGAGTTCTGCAGTCCGAAGATCATTTCGAAAATCACCTGAGGTATCACAAATGCTTCTGATAGAAAAATGGGAGAATCTTCAGGTTGAGACTGGCTGGGATTTTAGTTTCCTATGAGTCTACTCAAGGGTTACAAGGAAGGGATACTAAGCTTTGTTTGATAGTTTCGGGCTCATGCTGCTTTTATGCCTTCTTAGCACCCTGTGGATGATATCGACAAGATGAAAGAGCGAGCTGCCATGAACAACTCCTTCATCTACATAAAGATTCCACAGGTCCCACTGTGTGTCAGCTATAAGGTCTGCATCTCCCCAGCATTTTCTAGAACAGGGTGGGAAAGGAAGCAGGTAAGATCAACAGAGGTTATAGGTAGGGAGATAGCCAGGCTTCTTTTAAAGATGTCTGTGGGTGACAAATTTACTGTTCCTTCTGCTCTTTAGAGAAGTGAGCCATTACTAGATTAGATTAAATTAAGGGGAAATCAGTATAGGCTGCTGTTTTAGGTCTTTACATTCAAGTACTGGTTTAGACTCAAAATGATAGTTGATGTATTTTTTTTCCTTCTCTCCCCTTTCTCTCCTCTTACAGGGTGAAAAGAACAGTGTGGACTGGGGTGACCTTAATCTGGTGCTGCCCTGTTTGGAGTACCACAACAACACATGGACATGGCTAGACTTTGCTATGGCTGTTAAAAGAGACAGCCGCAAAGCCCTGGTTGCCCAGGTATCCCACCAGGGCTCATGGCTGTTTGGTTAGCAAGGGCTGGCAAGCAGATCCTCTGTTCGGGAGAGCCTTTTGTTCTGGGAAGTATTAACAGTTAGCTGTGGGAAGGGGCAGATAAATGAAGTGAGTGACTTCTGTTCCATGCCTTTTCCATGACTGCCAGATTACTAAATTGAATATTTACTAATGTTTTATGTATGTTAGCTACCACTAACTAGGGAACTACTTAGGGTTGCTACCACCTCAGGTTTAGAATAGGTTCTAATTAGATTATAAGCTACTTGAACGTAGAGACCATTTTATAATTTGAATTGCTCCATTGTGGCTTGCATGTAAGTTTCATAAGTCTTTGTTGACTTGGTTCACTTTTACGTATTCTGCCTACCGCACTAATACTTTTCCTTTTACTCTTCTCCATTCTGCCAGGTAATCAAAGAAAAGCTAAGACTGAAACCTGCAGCAGGGTCTGAGGTTCGGGGAAAGCTAGAAACTAAGTCAAACTTGAACATGCAGCAGCAGGAAGAAGAAGAGAAAGCTCGGCTACTCATCGGTTTAAGTGTGGGTGACAAGAACCCTGGCAAGAAGTCCATCTTTGGCAGGCGCAAGTGATCTGGCAATTTGAATGGCTGCAGTACAGGATCTGACTCTGGATCAGGCCCCAGGGACTTGTGGAGTGGGAGGGGTTTCCCTTTATCCAACAGGATTTGTGGGGGTTTGGAGTCCACAGGTAATGTGGAACAAGGCATTGCTGTTAGCAGCTGGCCTATTCCCTGCAGAGCACGGTGGACAGTAATGCTGAGTTTCATCTTGTGCTGACCAGGCCCAGGGCCAGAGAGGCAACGAGAGCAAGACCCAGGGAATGGTCCCAGGGTTGGGATCCTGTCCCCTTGGGGTCCACTGATAGGGTGGGGGGATAGTTCTGATCAAGTGTGACAAATTTTTATAAAGACATATATATATATAAAACATATATATATGTATATATATATATATATATTTCTAAGTGTAACTGTTCTCCCTTTGTGCCAGGAAACTGAGGGAAGGGTAATGATCCTCTTTCCCTCATTCTGTTGCCTTGTATGAAAGTTTATTGTTCTGGGGAATCAGCTTCTTCCCAGTCTGTATGCCTACTTGGGAGGATGGCAATAGGAACCAGGGCTGGCCATGGGTCCCCTACTATTCCCCCTGGGGTGTGCCCTGGAGAATGGCAAAAAGAAAAATATGATTTAAAGAAAAAAAATATTTTAAATTTGACATTGGTATTGTTTTGTTTTTTTTGAGTACATGCGTTCAACCTGTCTGTGTCCTTTCCAAGCCCATCAACTCCACATAGCCTGTAACTGCTACTCTTAACTCTTAAATGAGGGTGCCCTCTTCCCATGCCTTGAAACTGTATCACAGATACTGTCCAGCCCTAGTAAGACACTGGCCCAAAGCTGATGCTTCTGTACACATTATAAGAGCTGGGGCTTATGTATAATGCAGCGTTGGGGAGAGGAATCGCTTATGTAACTGGGATGCAGCAGATTTAGTGGAAGGCAGACAGATTTAGTAGAGGCAGACGGAGGACAGAGAATGGGAACAATGAACTGTCGGCAGGGGCAACACACCCAGGTGGCTACTTCTCGTAAGGTAGGCTATGGGGCTCTAGCAGCCTGTTGAAGTGAAGGAGGCATAAGCCTGGGGCTTGGAAAGTAACTGGTTAGGAGCTGTCAGTTATACCCCATTTGGCAGGGTGGCAGAGAAGGCATATAATTTGAAACCATTGCAATACTATTCTGAGGCACGGGTTGTATTCTTGGTACATTATGGGGAAAGTGTCCAATAATTGCTTTCGTAGAGAATTTGGAATATGTCCAGGGGATCTAAGTCTTGTCACAGAACAAGGCTAGTGGGAATTTTGTCTGGTACTCAAAAATGTACCTTCAGTAGTTGAGACATGAGGGATGATAGTAACTACTAATATGTGTAACCAACAGTGCTTCAGCTAGGTTTAGAGCGGCTCCCTTGCTTCTCAGGGTGGCAACATACAGATCCTCTGGGTCCGAGGCTGGAAGAGCCTCTGCTCAGGTGTGGGGACCATGAGGTCAGGTCTGGAAGAACTCTGGGAACTATAGGGGCATCACTGCCAGCACCAGGAGACCCTAGAGAAGCCTTCTGTCTGAGTGGCCTGTACCTCAGTTCATCAACCTCTTTCTACCAGAGTTTCCCATGAGGCCCATTAGGGGGCAGCAGCAGCTGAAGGTAGGTTAATGCAATCCCTGGGAGGGCTCTGTCATTGGGAGAAATCAAGAACAGCCAGTCTTAATTGCCCTGTTATCCATTTCTTAATGCAGATTTTAGGCCTTGTGGCTAAAGGGTCTTTTGGAACTGTCCTGAAGGTGCTAGATTGTGCCCAGAAAGCTGTAGTTGCAGTGAAGGTAGGAGTCTTATGTACTCATACCCATTACTTCCAGTTCCTTGTTCCAAGAGAACACCGCAGAAGTTAGGAGGAATAAACAGTTCAATAGCACTATTCTCCTTTGAATCATTGTTTCTCTTATTTTATAGGTAGTATCCACGGTAAAAGTCCTACAGAAGGACATCCTGAGGCAGTGCAAAGAGGAAGTTAACATCTGGGTATGCACAGATTTCTGGAAAGAATGGTGGGACAAACTAAACCACAGCTAGGGAGAGCAAATTTTGAGTCCAGGTTTCTTGCTTTTCCTGGCTTTGCCCTTGCCTTCTGCTTCAACCTTAGTTCAACACCAAAGTAAATCCTTAGAAAAGCAGTTAATCAATATTTATTGATAATTTCCTGCCAGAGAAATCTCTCTAACACATGTCCCAGTGTGTTAATATTAAGCTGATTTCAAGACTGCCGGACAGGCAGTACCAGTTAGTGAGTTCCTCTGGACCCAGAGTTGAAGCACCAGTTCCATTTCTTCACAACTAGGGAAAACCTGATTTTCTTTGCTGCCTTTCTCCTCAATGATCTTGTTCTTTCTAACTTCCTGTTTTCTTTGTGCCTAGCAACAAATCAGCCATCCTTTTGTACACAGCTTGGGAGATACCTGGCAGGGAAAACGACCCCTCTTTATTAGTGAGTGACTGGCCTTTCTCTTCTTCCCCAAGGGCCCATTTACTAGTCTCTTGACCTGGGATTACTTACTTCTGGGCTTATTCTACCTTTGCTGTTTCCCTTCTCATAGCACCTCCCCGAAAAGGGAAAGAAGAAACAGCAAGTGGCATTGGTTTGGGCAGGAGGCTTATAATACCTTGAGCTCAGTCATTGTAGTCCCCACACATTACCTACGTTTCTGGTGCTTTGCAGTGTGTAGCTACTGCAGCACAGATCTGTACTCCCTGTGGTCTGCTGTTGGCTGCTTTCCTGAGGCTTTGCTCCGTCTCTTTGTGGCTGAGCTGGTCCTTGTGCTGTGTAAGTCAAAAGGGCAATAAAGGAAATGGGGAGGGGAAAATTAAGTTGGTGGGGAGGATAGAAGAGAATTGGTAGTAACTGTAGAAGTCAAAGAATAGAGATAGGGATGGGAGGGTAGCTACCAGAGAAACTGGAAAGAAGAAGAACTTCAGTACACTTTATGCTTGATGTCACTCACAGGCTATCTCCATGACTTGGGTATCATCCATCGAGATGTGAAGGTAACGTGCTTTTTCCCTTAGTCTGAGGAGAGGGGCTCAATAAGAAATTCGAACAGGTTCAAAAAGGCAGATGAACTGAGTGGGTGCCAGGGATTTAGGTAAGGCCCTCCAAGTATAGATTTGAATTCTAAGTAGGGCATGCCCTTCAGTTGGGGTATGCACATAATGAAAGACCGTTGAAAGAGGAAGAAAATAACATCTGACCTGTAATCTTTCAGATGGAGAATGTTCTTCTGGATGAACGAGGTAAGTCTTACTTTTCATAGCACCAGAATGAGAGGTGTTTTGGTTTGGGAATAAATCATGGCTGATACAGGTGGAATGGAGTGGTACCATTGCCTTATCTTCTTTTATAGGCCATCTGAAACTGACAGACTATGGTCTGTCCTGCCACCTGCCTCAGGGCACCCAAGCCTATACTATCTGTGGCACTCTTCAATACATGGGTGAGAGAGAAGCTAATACTGGTGGGTATACATTGGATTGGAGGATAGTCAAAGGATGTCAATGATAAGGATCTTTCAAATCCATAGCCCCAGAGGTCTTAAGTGGTGGACCTTACAACCATGCTGCTGATTGGTGGTCCCTAGGTGTCTTGCTTTTCTCTCTGGCAATTGGAAAGGTGAGAAAATGTTAGTGCTGTTAGGCAAAGAAGACAGCTTTGTCTTGTGGTGGGAAGGAAGACATTAGGAAATCTTGCCTTATTCTAACTTTCTTCACTCAGTTTCCAGTGGCCGCAGAAAGAGATCATGTGGCCATGTTGGCAAGTGTAACTCACTATGACTCTGAGATCCCAGCTTCTCTTAAAAGGGAATTCTCACTCCTGCTTCAGGAGGTAAGGGTGAACACTACTTTCCTTCTTGACTGCCAGACTATTTTATTTTCCCTTACCATTGAAGTGATAGTTCCCTATTCCTATGATTAATTTTTTGGAGGGGGATGTTTGTGGGATGCTCCAGGTTAACCGCCTTTTTGCCCTCTAACCATGTACTTTTTATTACATTCCCATGTTCTGGGTCTCTCAGATCTCCTCCCCATCTGGAAGATAAAGGTCCTTCCTGAGAGAGTGGACCAGTGCTGCACAACCAGGAAATTTATAAATATGGCACCTTTATTTCCACCTTGCCTCAAATTATCCTGTTTCTTTTATAAATCCTTTACTCTTTTTTCTGCCCTCAGTAGCTCCATGAACTTCTTTCTTTCCCATCTTCTTTGTTCAGCCTGTTTCCTGTCTCAGGCCCTCATTCTTCATACTCTTATTTCCCTTCAGCTCTTGTTCCAGAACCCCCTCCACCGGCTACGTTATCTACATCACTTCCAGGTCCACCCTTTCTTTTGGGGTGTGGCCTTTGACCCACAGCTCCTACAGAAGCAGCCAGTGAACTTTGTCATGGAAACACAAGAAACCCAGCCCAGTCCATTGGAGCCCATGCCCTTCAAAGACTTTGACTGTGAACTGGAACCCTTCCTTGACTACTCCATCCCTGCTTGACCCTCTTCTACTGTAGATTGGGGCCACGCTGGGATCCAGAGGATCTCCTTTGCCACCAACTCAGTATGACCATCGTGATTATCTAGTTTTTACTTTGTAGCACCTTACCATTCTGTTCTAGGTGTTAGACCAGAGTTCAGTTTTTGGGCACTCCTACTGAGAACTACAACTGAATCTAGCCCTTCCCCATCATACAACCCACCTCTCAAAATTCAGCATCTAAAACCAGTCTAGTAACCTTTTCCTTTGCTTCACTTTTCTAGTGCTCTTGCCTTCAAGTTGTCATCCAAAGGCTTTTTCCATTTTGCCTCTCCTTGTTTCTCTGCCATATTTCTTCCCTTGGAGTAGTAATGATACATCATAGATTCCCAAGGTGCTATTTATGTTTAAAAGACTGGTCATAAATAGTCTGATTATTTTTCACAGGTCTCAAGTTGGGCATGGTGGCACATGCCTGTAATCCCAGAACTTGGGAAGCTGATGCAGGAGGATCACCATGAGTTGGAGGCCAGCCTGCATTAAAAGCAAAACCCTGTCTCAAAAAAATAAAAAAATTCAATAATTTAAAAAATAAATAAAAGAATCATGCCAGAAGTATCAAAAGCTGGCATTTCAACACCTAATTTTTAAATATACACCCCAAAAATATGACCTGGAGGCCTGAGGACAGACTAAAATAAACCTAATTTTTTTAAAATTGGAAAGTGAATTTAATATGAGGAAGAAAAAAGAAATGGGAACATCAGTAGATAAAAGGTCTTCTCTAGGGATAAATAGGACAGTATCTAAATCTTTTTGTAAAATGAAATCTCAGAAGTCAATTTTTAAAAATTTTTGTTTTTGTTTCTTTGAGACAGGGTTTCACAATGTAGTTGAGGCTGCCCTTGAACTTACTAAGTAACCCAGGCTGGCCTTGAACTCACAGTGATCCACCTGCTTTAGGCTCTGGAGTGCTGAGATTACAGTGCACCACCACTCTGGGCAAAAACAAATTGATCATTTCTTTTTTGTTTGTTTGTTTGTTTTTTGAGACAGGGTCTCACTGTGTAGTTGAGACTGACCTAGAACTCACTATGTAGCCCAGGCTGGTTTTGAACCCACAGCCATCCTCCTGCCTCAGCCTCCTGAGTGCTGGGATTACAGGCGTGTGCCACCACACCCGGCTAGATTGATCATCTCTACACATCTCAGGATTTAGTTTTTTTTTTTGGTACGGGATTGAACTCAGGGTCCTTGCGCTTGCAAGGCAGGCCACTGAACCACTGAGCTAAATTCCCGGCCTAGGATTTAGTTTTTTAGTTGGGCAAATCAGATTGAGAGGCACGACATTAACCTTAAGATTTAAGATTAGAGCTGTATTTTAAGAACTTTTTCCTTTTGTGAGGAAGATTATCTGGACCATGAATTTATGCAAATTTCTTATCTTTATGATTTTCATTTTCTTTAACATCCCAAAAGTTTCACTTTTGGGCCTGGGGTTTAGCTCAGTGGTTCTGCTGCTTGCCTCCCAAGAGCAAGGTCCTGAGTTCTATCCCCAGTACCAAGAAAAAAAAAAGTTTTCACTTTTGTTGCATATTTCAGGGAGAAATATATTTTAATCTAGATCATATTAATCTTCAGTTATATCTGAAGGTATATATCTGAAGGTCTCTTTTTCCAGACCAAAGAGAGTCTAGGGAGTATCTTGTTTATATCAGCTTATTATTGTCTTTAGATTAAGCAGCTTTTCCCTTTATAAGGCTGACATTTTATTGGCCTCTGCAGAATTAATTTTTCTTGATTTCAGTTTGGCAAGCCATATAAATATTTATGAAACTCGATACTTTTAAAAAGGTGTTTATCATTATAGTCCATAATGTTTAATTTAGGATGAATGAGAAATTTTCTCTGAACCTAGTTATACTTTTCCTAAACTGCTGTTTGGCTTTTACCTTAAAGACACAAAATATTCAGCTGATTATCTTTCTCCTTTTACTAATGCTAGATCATTTGGAACCCAGTTTGTGGCTTACTTCCAGCAAAAGTTTATGTATTTTATATGCCCACATATTCTTGGTTCCATCTTTCTTTTCTACCTTTATTTTATTTTTTCTGTTTTAATCTTGTTTATATTTTATATTATCTGCATCTTTGTAAGCCTTTTTGGAATAAGGTTAGGATGTAAATAAATAAGGAGAATGTATTCTTTGCTTTTTCTCATTTGTTTCTCTTTAGACATTTCCATAGCTTTATTACATTTTTTTAAAAAATTGTAGTGATCAAACATGCATATTAGAGAAAAATCCTGAATACTAAAAATAGGAATGAATGGTTTCCAAAATAGTATTAGACTGGAATTTAGGAGATCTGATGCCTAGATCCACCAGTATCTCAGTATCCGTGTGTGTGCGTGTGCATGTGCGTGTGTGTGTGTGTGTGTGTGTGTGGTACTGGGGATTTAGCCTAAGGCCTTCACACTAAACTACACCCCCAGCTGCTTCTTTTAAAATTTTGAGACAGAGTCTCACTAAGGCGTTAAGTTGTCCAGGCTAGATGCAAACTTGTGGTGCTCCTGCCTCTGCTTTCCAGAGTACTTGGGATGACAGCTGTGTGCCACCACTCCCAGGTTATACTACAGGTTCTTTTTGGGGGGGAGGGGGTGTATCTGGGCTCGAACTTAGGTCCTTGTACTTGTGAGGCAGGTGGTGGGACCACTGAGCTAAATCTCCAGCCCCTACAGGTTCTTAATTATGAGGAATGAATGTCAGATTTCTGTGATGCATTTTATTTTTTTCCTTAGGGCTGTGCTCATGCTAGGCAATGACTCTACTTCTGGGCCACATTCTCAGCCCTTATTTGAGACAGGATCTTGCCACATTGCCCAGACTAACCTGGAACTTGTGATCTTCCTGCCTCAGCTTTGTATGTAGCTGAGATTACAGTTGTGAGCCAACATCCCCAGTTATGATGCTTTTACAAGGGGCAGATACAAAAGATTTTGATACTGTGTGTGGCTCATTGTTAATGTTAGATCATCCAACAGTGTATGGCCCTTCTGGTCACAGTGCTACAATGGGTTACGGTCCTTAGAGAATGACTAACATAATGTCAGTTGAGTCCCTTTCCCCCATCATGTTATGTAGCTTAGAGACCAACTTCATGCACATAGTTTGAATTATTTCTTCACCAAATGAGGACATTTTCAACATACTGCACTGTTGCACTTAAGCAGTGATATTTAGGATAGAACAGAAGGTGTGACAGAAAATAAAAGTTTAAGAAAGTAAAACTTTGAAAAAGTCTTGGCTTCATTTCAGTTTTGGTCTGCTTACCCCTGGAAGGCATTTTGTTTTTTATTTTGCTTTTTTTGGTACTGGGGATTGAACTCAGGACCTTATGTTTGCAAGGCAGGTGTAATGCCACTGAGCTAAATCCCTGGCCCTGGAAGGCATTTTCTTCTCCACTCTCCATTCAGAATCACTGACTTAAAAATATTAATACCTTTTATTTATTCATATGAAATTTACTTAGAATTTTAAAATATATAATCTGAAATCTTTATTCCTATACTTTGACTTGTCATTACCCTAGAAGAATTTACTTTTAAAAAAGTCAAATATACCTGTAAACGTGGATATTTTACTCCATCTTCCATGTTTCATAAATTTAAGATTTAACTTGATTTTTTTTTTTTTTTTTTTTTTTGAGACAAGATCTCACTACACAGTGCAGGCTAAATACCTGGCATTAATTTTTATATACTTGTATCTTTGTAGCTCTTCTTTTGCTTTATGTTTTTCTTTTTACTCTTTTGTCTTTTTACCTCTAACCTATAATTGATTGGTGAATGTGTTTACTTGTTCATTCATATAACAAACTTAATGTCAGACCCTTGATTACATCTTTATTTGTTTGTTTGTTTATTTATTTGGTTTTTTGAGACAGGGTCTCACTATGTAGTTGAGATTGACCTGGAACTCACTATGTAGCCCAGGCTGGTCTCGAACTCACAGCAATCCTCCTGCCTCAGCCTCCTGAGTGTGCTGGTATTATAGGCATGTGCCATCACACCTGGCAACCTTGATTACATCTTTATCTAAATTTTTTTTTGGGGGGGTACCAGGGATCAAACTCGTACTTTGTGCTTTTTTTGAGGCAGGTGGCGGTACCACTGAGCTAAATCCCTGGCCCTGATTATGTCTTTAAGTCTTTTTTTCTTTTTTTTTTAGTACCAGGTCCTTGCGCTTGCAAGGCAGGCAGTTGAACCACGGAGCTAAATCCCCAGCCCTATGTCTTTAAGTCTTTATAGAGAATCTTCATTGTAGAAATCTTATCAAAGCTAGTATGTGTGTCTGTGTGTAAGTGTTGCTGGGGATTGAACTCAGGGTCTTACGAATATTAGTTAAGAGTTATTCCCTCAGCCTCTTATCAGAGCTTTTAAAAAATAAATAAAATTATATTCCCTGTATTATGTTAGCCCTTGTTGTGGACTGAAATGTGTCCCCAAAAATTCATGTTGAAGTCCTCACCTCTAGACTTTTCTTTTTTTCTTTTCCATCCCCAGCCCCTCTAACCTTTAAAATATGATTGTACTTGGAATCAGGTCTAAAAAGATAATTAAGTAAAAGTGAAGTCATATAGGTAGGCCCTAACTTAGTATGACTGGTGTGCTGATGAGATTAGGACCCAGACACATGCACACATACAGAGAAGACCATGTAATGACATAAGGAGGAAATCGCTCTGTATAAACCAGTGAGAAAGGGCTCAAAAGAAACCAGTTCTGCAGGGCATGGTGGCACATGCCTGTAATCCTAGTATGAAGGAAGCTGAGGCAGGAGGATTGCCATGAGTTCAAGGCAAGCCTGAGCTACATAGTAAGTTGAAGAATGGCTTGAATTACATAAAAACCTGTCTAATAAATAAATAAACAAATCTGCTGGCACCTTGGTCTCAGACTTCTACTCTCCAGAATTGTAAGAAAGTAAATTTCTGCTGTTCAAGCTACCTAGTCTGGAAATTTATTATGGTAGCCCTAGCGAGCTAACACAGCCCCTGTGAGTAGATCTAATAGATTAATCAATTATATTAAGAAAAAGTCATGCTGGTTTATTTCCTATCCGTTTGTTTTGCTTTTATTTTGAAAGTATAATTCAGATTATTATTATTTTTTGTTACTGGGGATCAAACTCGAGACCTTGTGCTTGCAAGGCAGGCAGCGTGCCCATGGAGCTAAATCCCCAGACCAGTGTTTCAGATTTTATTTTCTCGAGTTTTGCTGGTATATGGAGTCCTGTTAATTAGCAACTGTCATACTGCCTCCTTTGTTCTGTATTCCGTTATACACAGCAGTAGGGCTGATACTTTAAAAGTATCTTTTTTGGGGTTGAGTATTTAGCTCAGTGGTGCTGCCGCCTGCCTTGCAAGCACAAGGGCCTGAGTTCAATCCCCGGTACCACAAAAAAAAAACAAAACAGCCTGCCTTGCAAAATATCTTTTTTTTTTTTTTTTTTTTTTTTTTTTGCAGTACCAGGGAATGAATTTTTTTTTTTTTTTTTTTTTGAGACAAGGTCTCATTATATAATTCAGTGTGGTTATTATGTAGTCCAGGCCCTCATCCTGGTATCCTCCTTTAGCCTCTTTTGAGTGCTGGGATTACAGGCATGTACCACCAAACCCAGCTCCAAAATAAACATCTTTTGAATTTGCTCAAAACTGGTGGATATTTCTCAGGATTGCTGATTTGGGTTATGTGATTGAATTTTTACAAAAGAAGAAATCTTTGATCGTAAAATTTAAAAACTGTTTCAAAATGGTTGGATTCTTATACCATACCTGAAACTTAATTCTAGAGAAAGATTTAAATATGAGGGCTGCGGATTTAGCTCAGTGGTTTCGCTTCCTGCCTTGCAAGTGCAAGGTCCCAAGTTCGATCCCAGGTACCAAAACAAAAAAATTTAAATGATAACATTAAAATTCTTAGAATATCTGAGAGACTAGGCCTTCAGTCAGGGGATGGAGAAGATACCTAAACCAGGAAAGAAAATGAAAGCACTGTAAATGAAGTACATATTTGCATGAAAATTTGAATGGCTTGATCAAGGCAAAAAATCTAGGTATTATGGCAGCTACATCTTGACCACATAAAAACTATTGATGTCCACACAGCATTATTCAAGCTAGGAGACAAAAAACATCAAAAATAAAATGTGAGAATGATGGCAATTAATGTCTGTAACACAGAGGTCTTATACATTAGAAAAGAGCTGTTTTCAAAATAAAGGAAAGGAATATGAAATGACAAGTCAGTTAGGTCTGTATCAGTTGGCTTAGAAGGTTTTTTAGAAGACATTGAGTGGGGGGAAAAATGCCAAAATGTAAGAAATCCTATGTTTGGAAAGGAATTAATGATTTCTCTCCACCTTTGTATGTGTGGGGGTGGTTGGGAGAGTGGAAAGAAAATGTGAAAGAAAAGACTTGGAAGAGACAGCCGGACGTGGTGGCCCATGCCTGTAATCCCAGTACTTGGGAGGCTGAGGCAGGAGGATCGCTGTGAGTTCGAGCCCCGCCTGGGCTACATAGTGAGTTCCAGGTCAATCTTAACTACATAACGAGACCTTGTCTCTAACAAAAAACAAAAAAAACCGTGGAAGAGAGGGAGAATTCAAGTGGAAAAAGCATCAAACTTCAAACCCAGAATACCCAGCTTGTGTATCAATTAATTTGGGGATGTATGTGTAAGTAAATAAAGCTAAATGTGTGTTTTTATTCATGTTTTAATTTTTTTTTTTTTTTTTTTTTTACCAGTACCAGGGCTTGTATGTACATGCTAGGCAAATGCTGTACCACTGAGCTATGTTCCCAATCCTTTTTGTTTTGAGATAGTATCTTATTAAGTCGACCATGCTGGCCTTGAAGTTGTGATTCTCCTACCTCGGCCTTCTGAGTACTATACGTATATTTTTATGAAGGTGTACATACAGTTTGTACATAGGAGGGTAGACTTTCTTCAAAACAAAACAATAAACAAGTTTTCACTGTGTAACCCAGTCTAGGCTTGAACTTGAAATCTTCTGGTGTCTGCCGGGCATGGTGGCGCACCTCTGTAATGCCAGCACTGGAAGGAGGGTTGCTGTGAGTTCGAGACCAGCCTGGGCTACATAGTGAGTTCCAGTCAGTCTCAAGTACATAGTTGGACCCTGTCTCAACCAAAAATAAAATAAAAGAAATCTTCTGGCCTCAGCCTCCTAAATGCTGGGATTATAGCCATGCCTGGCTGAGTCTGTGCTTTCAGAACCTCTGACTATTGTTTCATGTGCTGAAATAAAACAGCACTTGTTGAAAAATACCAAATTTTTAAAAATTACAGAAAATGATATAAACAAACTAATTTTGCGTTATTTCACATTTTCCTTCTCATCTACCCCTCCCTATCCACATTTTCTGTTGGAAGTACCATATCCTTTTAGCTGCTGCCCACTTGGTGCCTGACATACCAGCTGCAACAAGGACTAAGCATTCTAGCTCACATATTCCTATTAACACAAGTCTTTAATACTGGCACCAAGAGCTTTCTGTCTTGGTTTTCCTACACTTCCCACCCTCTTTTTTTTTTTTTTTTTTTTTTTTTCTTTTTTTTTTTTTTTTTTTTTTTTTTTTCCTTTTCTTTTTGGTACTGGGGATCAAACTGAGGTCCTTGAGCTTGGGATCCCGGCAGCAGAACCACTGAGCTAAACCCCCAGCCCTTGTGTCTTATTTTTAAGGTCTTTTTGACTCACTACAAATGTTCCTCGGGTTTCCATCTGCTAACTCTTGGCTAAGCCCAGGCTCCCCATTTGTATTTAAGCAGTTAATGGGTTGCAGGCTCGTATCATGTTTTAGAGTAGCACTGTCCAACAGAATAATGCACAGCATATAAGTCATTTAGAATCTGCCAGCTATCCACATTCAAAAAGTTAAAAAAAGGCCAGGTACTGTGGCACATACCTGTAATCCCAGCAACTGGAGAGGCTGAGGCAGAAGGACTGCAAGCCAAGCTTGAGGCCAGCCTGGGCAATTTAGTGAGACCCTAACTCAAAAAGAGCAATGGGTGTAGCTTACTGAAAGTACTTACCTAGCGTGAGTTAGGGCCTGGATTTAATCTCAAGTATCAAAAAAGTTCAGTGAGTGTTCAGAGGAATACACAGTCATCAACAATTGACTTGGAAACACCTTTTGGGTACAAGCCTGTAGTCCAAGCTACTTGGTATTTGAAACAAGAGATCACTTGAACCCAGGAGGGTCTTTAGAGGTAACCAAGTAAAAACGAGGTCATATGGATAACAGAAAAACAGCCTGCACAACATAAATTGTCTCAAACAGAAGACCTTAAGCTGTTTTCAAAGTACCAATTTCACCTGCAGTGGATCTATTTCCAGTACAGAGGGAATTTGAGAGACAGGATGCAGGAGTTGGTAGTGTGAGTTGGGAGCCTGGCTCACTGGCTCAATTTATCTGTAAAATGGGAGCCAAGTGTCAGGTAGCACATGCTGTCATCCCAGCACTTGGGAGGCTCCACGAATTCAATGCCTGAACTACACAGCAAGATCCTGGCTCAACCCAAAAAGGGGAGAGGGTTATAATGCTTCATGTTATGAGGATTAAATGTACATTTTGTGTTGTTTTGTTTTTTGGTACCGGGGATCGAACTTAGGCCCTTGTGCTTGCGAGGCAGGCAGCACAACCACTGAGCCAAATTCCCAGCCCTATGAGTGTTAAATGAATATATAGAGCCAGGCACATAATAAATGTTCAGTTCGTTACTTGTTAGCTACTACGGTAAACTTGTTAAAGGCTCTAAGGTTAATCCCAAGAAATGCCCAGAAATCTTTAGTCACGATTTGCAGGCCCAGGTTGAGATCTGTGTCTCAGGCCATCATGGATTCGTGGACAGTCCAGGCCTAAGTACAGACTGCTCCACTCACTTTTTTGGCGGTGGGGGTGGGGTGGTGGTGGTGCGGGCATTGAACTCAGGACCTTGTGCATGCGGGGTTCCACTGAGCGAAATCCCTGGCCCTCCACTAACTTGCCTTCGGGGCTCCCCGTCAAAGCTGAGAGCCCTTAAACCTGGCCATGGAGACAGCTTCCCTGGCAGGTGTGAGGGCGGGCCACAGGAAGCGGGAGGAATGGATTCCCTGAGTTTCCAGGTTCGTGCGGCGTCGTCTGGGATGTGAGGACACAACTCCGAACGGGCCGGGTCTGCCTCTGGCGCTCCATAAGGACTTTGTTGAGAGGTCGCGGAGATTACTTCCCGCAAGCTAAACGCGGGGAGGGGCGTGGTCACTGCCAGTCCCGCCCACCCACCGGGCTAGAGTCCGGAGTGGCTCCGCCAAACTGACGCACTACGGCGCTCCAGCCAATCGAGAATCGTAGACGAGGTTCAAATAAAGACGGCGGGTGAAACATGGTGAACCGGACTTGATTTGGGAGGTGATTAACCTCCTATCCGTGTTGAAGATGTGGCGGGTGAAGAAATTGAACCTCAGCCTGTCGCCCTCGCCCCAGCCGGTGAGCAGGGAAGCTCTCTCGGAGAAAGAGCTAGGGCGGGATTACAGGGTCTGGAGCTCTGGGTCCAAAGGTCCTGAAAAGCTGGGTCAACCGTGGGGCTGGGCGTTTGGGGTCTTTGTTCAGCACGACTTGGGTGGAACTTGGCTTTTCACATTTGTTTCTTCTGGATTGCTTTCTCAGGGGCAACCAGCTATGAGAACTCCATTTCGGGAACTAAACCTACAGCCCAGTGACGTCAACTCAAGACAAGGCCCCGCTTTGTGCTCCACACTGACCCCAACACTGTGCAAGCTGGGACTGCAGGTGAGATTCATCTGGACAGCTGCTCGACTGGGCTATGTGCCCAGGCTGAGAGCTCAGAGGAACAGAGGGCCAGGGCTGGAACGTTGTAATTAATAACGATAATGAAGTCTCTACAACAGTGATATCCGTTTACAGCTATTCAGGCCAACAGAGAGGTGCCCTAAGGTGGTTAAAGAAATCCACTGAGAACCCAAATTTCTAGTTAGCTGTTGGTTTTATGATCCCCTCCCCCTTTCGACCTTTACCAAACTACTGAGAAATCTTTCCTTCTAATTAGTGGTATTTATCTAACATGGGCTCACAGATGGAGAGATCAGTGTCTGTTACAACAGTGAAGGAATATCCATCCACCCCAGAAAGTAGTCAGAGCTCTCCTTGGGATCAAGTTATAATGTGGGATATTATTATAATTGATTATTTTAGATTTTTGCTTTTGTTTGTTGTTGTTTTGGTTTTTTGAGGCAGGGTCTCCCTTTCTAGTTCAGGCTGACCCTGAACTATGTAGCCCAGGCTGGCTGTGAACTCACAGCAATCCTCCTGCCATCAGCCTCCCAAGTGTTGGGATTATAGGTGTGTGCCCTGTCTATTAATGATTATTTTATGTAATCATTACCATCCTCATTGTTATTAAGTTGTCTCTGGCAGAATTGGCTTGAGTTGAATTTTTAAAGATCTGGAGAGAAGTAACCAAGAACAAATTATCTCTCAGTTGCTATAAAGATTCATTAAAGAGGGCTGGGAATTTAACTCAGTGGCACTGTGCCTGCTTTGCAAGCTCAGGGTCCTGAGTTCAATCCCTAGTAACAACAACAACAACAACAACAACAACAAAAAGACTTGTCAGAAAAAGAGATTGACCCCTCTATAAGATTTCTTGAAGAAATTTTTTTGGAACTTACTGCCTGGGAAATTAACTTTTTAAAAAAAATTGTTATCCTTTTGTTTTTTTAATAATGGAACATATGGAATTTACCATATTTTCCCTCTTGCTCTAGCATGGACAAAGCTCAGGGTGCTTGTTCAGTGTGGTATCACATACCTGTAATCCAAGTTACTTGGGGATAGGAAGACCCTTTCTAAAAAAACAAAGGAACCAAAAAAGCAGGAGATGTAGTTCAGTGTGAAAGTCCTATGCTCAGTTGTCAGTACTGCAAAAAAATAAAGGAAGGGCTGGCAGCTGAGGGCTGTAGTTCAGTGGTAGAGCACTTGCCTATCATGTGCAAGGCCCTGGGTTAAATCCCTAGTACCACCCTACTACCACCAAAGAAATGCTATAAATTCAGTTATATTTATCATTACTCCTGAAATATGAACATTTGCTTTCTCTTTCTTCTTTGACCATGATTTTGTTTTTCATCAGCATCAACATTATTATTATTATTATTATTATTATTATTATTATTATTATTATTATTATTATTATTTTGGTGGTGCTAGGGATCCAGCTCAGGCCCTTGTGCATACCTGTATAACAGGTATTCTACCACTGAGCTACACACCAGCCTTATTTTATTATTTTATCTGTCTGTCCCTACCCACTCTAGATTCCTACAAGTGGGTTGAAGTTAGGAAGTGAGAGGAATAAGGTCATATTCAAAATAACATTTCCCCATGATATAGATAGTTATTCTGTTTGTTTATGCTGAAGGCTGGTTCACTTGGAAGGGCTCAAAGGGCTTTCTAACTTTTCTTTCTCTACTGTTGGGTCTCTGGTAACAAGGATTGGCCAATCCTTGGTAAGGATTGGTAAGAACCTCCTTAGGTAAGCACAGGTAATGAAGTTTTTTAAAAATTTGCCTTATATCCTACACCCATTAATTATATATTGGGAACTTAGTTGACTGCCTTATTACCATTTGTTTTTGTTTTCTTTGGCAGGAAGACAGCAACAACTCATCTGTACTGGGTTTTTGCAATGCCAAAGGGACAGACTCCCCTTCAGAACAATTCAACTATCCCTCAGAATGTCTAGAAGCTTGTCAGCATGAATCAGATGAGCAGCGCCTAGGTCTGACTCCCCAAACCAACTCTACGCCCAAAACATTTGAGGAAGGAATAGGCCCAGTGGATGACTATGTGATTAAAACCACGGTCCTTGAATCCCCTCCAGTGGAGCAGCAGCAAGAAGTGATACTTGAGGCTCTTTTAGATACCACGGCAGAGACAAACAGCAGCTCTCTAAATAAGCCTTTGAGGCCAGGAAATCTAGTGAAGAAGGACGTGGCACCCTGCATGGAAGATGGCTTTTTAGAAGTTGTTGCTGCTATGCCTGAGAAACATACATTTCAAAAAACTCCATCTCATCTCTTGGATTCTCCACCAAATCCCTGTTCCGAGCAACAACTACACTGTTCTGAGGAGAGCCTGAGGAGCAATAGGACTGAATCTGTACCTGAGGACTTAGTACCTTCTGAAAGTAATGACTTCATGCTTTCCTCCATTCTCTGGCTTTCTCCTTCAACTGGCTTGGGAGCAGATTTCACCACCAATCATGTGGACCAAGGGGAGGAAACTGTAGAGCACAGAGCTATAGAAGAAAGAGAAATGAGCTCCACACTGTCTGAAAAGGTTGAATTGGGAGATCAAAAACTTGTCTCAAATGTGGAAAATGTCCAACCCACATGCCTGACACCAAATCCAGCAGCATCGGAAATCCAGGAAGCTCCAGGCCCAGCAGAAGATGCTGTTAGAATTCTTGGATGTGATTCAGAGACTTGGATGTCCCCATTGGCCTGGCTAGAAAAGGGTGTAAATACTTCCGTCATGCTAGAAAATCTCCGCCAAAGTTTATCCCTTCCTTCTATGCTGCAGGATGCTGCCATTGGCACTACGTCTTTCTCTACTTGCTCTGTGGGGACTTGGTTTACTCCTCCAGTACCACAGGAAAAGAATATGAACAAATCCCAGATAGGCTCACAGGACACCAAGAAGAGTACTGCAGAGGCACAGCACCACCTCTGGGGGTAAGTGCCTCATATCCTTATGCTTCTGGAATTCTGTTACCCTAGACCTCTCTCCCCTTCCCTTTCTTTTCTTTTCCTCATGTTCTTCTCTTCCTGCTGCAGCCATCATCCTCCAGATCTGACTACATTGTCTAGACATGACCTGGAAGATAATCTGATGAGCTCTCTTGTCATTCTGGAGGTTCTGACCCGCCAGCTACAGGACTGGAAGAGTCACCTGGCTGTCCCTCACCCAGAAGCACAGGCCTGTAGCACCCAGACAGATACCTGTCCTAGTCAGGTAAGCAGCTTCCTCTCAAGGACTGAAGGATCATGGTGGCCCTCTTCCTTAGAATTTAAGCCAATAAATTGTCAGAGGGCAAGGACTCCTGGATCACAAACTTTTTACGGTAGAATATGTAGGAAAACTTGAGAATCTGGAAAAACCCTTAAAGATGGATACTCACTACACCTCTGGGGGTACATTAAGACTTTCCAAGGGGGTACAAACAAGGAAAGTTTTGAAGGAATCAATGTTTAGGTCTTCTTCATCCAAATATATTTACTGATTTTTTTCTTTTTTATTTCCCCATTCTAACTGCCCTTGCCCACTTTACTAAAGAAGAACATCCTTCCTATCTCAAATCTTACATTAACAATCAAAGGACAACAGAAAATATTTGTGCACATTCTGAAAAAGCAAAGGACTGCAATAATTGTATAATGTCATTTTTGTATGTTTTCAACAAATTTGGAGGTAGATTTTATGTCAGTGGATCATTAGACATTTTTGGTGAAAGTTCAATAAGATTATTGGCAGACAGGTCTCTGTAGATATATTCCTAGAATTGGGGCTGGGGATTTAGCTCAGTGGTTCCGCTGCCTGCCTCATAAGTGCAAGGACCTGAGTTGGATCCCTGGTACCAAGAAAAAGGAAAGAAAGTGGCCTAGAATTGTGTGGCATGCCCTTCTTTCCTTTTTTCTGTTCCTACCAATTTTTTTTGTTTGTTTGTTTATATGAAGAATTCTTAGTACCTACATCTATTAGACTGGAAAATAGTCATGAATTTTTTTGGGGGAGGGTACCAGGGATCAAACTTGGGTCCTTGCGCTTGCAAGGCAGGCAGCAGCACCACTGAGCTAAACCTCATAGCCACCTAGTCATGAATTCTTGCTGAACTATGCCTTGTGAGAATTGATTTTATTTTTATTTTTTTTGGTACCAGGGATCGGACTCAGAACATTGTTCTTGTGAAGCAGGGTGAAGAAATGGGTGAATTAATATGGGGAAGGAACTTCCATTCATTTCATTAATAGATGATTTCCAATAAGATTTCACTGGATATGTTTAGGATTTTATTAAAACATATAATGATTAGTATACAACAGATGAAAATGTTTCTCCATCTGAAAGAAAGTTTTTTTTTTTTTTTTTTTTTTTTTTTTTATAAAGTCTTCTGTTCAAAGCAATTTAGAAGAATTTAAATTTAAATTTAGATGAACTTTTGTTTCAGAGATATAGGTCAATAACAGATTTTAAAGTATAAAAATATATTAGGATGGGGGCCAGGGATTTAGTGCAGTGGCATCATGCCTGCCTTGCAAGCACAAGGTCCTGAGTTTGATCCCTGGTACAAAAAAAAAAAAAAAAAAAAAAAAAAAAAAAAAAAAAAAAAAAAAAAAAAATGAGTCTGGTATTGTGTAGGTAACACAGAATATGTATATTGTGTATCTGGAAACTCAGTGTTTGACAGGAAGGACCAGGCTGGTCTTGAGCTCAGTGTGTCATCCAGGCTGGATTTAAGCTTGCTATGTAGTCTAGGCTGGTCTCAAACTTGCTGTGATCCTCCTGCCTCAGCATCCTGAGTGTTAGGATTACTGGAGTGCACCAACACACCTGGAAAAAAATTTTATTTTTTTAATGGCCTGGGGATGTAGCTCAGTATGAAGGTCCTGGATTTAATCCTCAATACCGCATAAAAAAGAAGAGTCTAAGTGTCTGGAGACCTCTTTTGAGGTGAGAATATCCTCAAAATAATGATTGCTGGTGGGAGACTGCATGGCCTTTTGCTAAATATCCTGGAAACCATGGGATTCTCACTTGTCTAGCTGACTTTCTCTCGTGTGTTATCATTATATCCTTTTTTTTTCTTGTCCTTGACCTTGTTTCCCATCCCTGAATCTGCCTTGTATCCTCCTCTCCTGAGCTTGCCAGGTCCCTTTGGAGGCCACTGAAGCAGAGTTGAAAAGGGGGAATGACATCACTTTCAGCCATTCCCCAGCACCGTGCGTGTCCTTGCCGCCTGGCTGCCTCCTTCACATCAACCTCATCACCTGCCTGACTGCCCAGCTTGGAGCAGTTTGTGTGTCCCGCCCAGTGGTGCTCTGTACCTTTCTGCACGATGCAGTTGATAATAATAACTGTGGCTAGGAAAGGGAGCCAGGAACCCCAAGAGATCTGAGAATAATGCAGTTTTGCCTCCTTAAATCCAGACTGTCACAGCCTTGTGATTCAGCACTGCTCCAGCAGTAGCCCTTTTCCTGACAATGGCTCCCTCTCGGCAGTAAGGAAGACACTTTTCTCTTAGAATTTGAGTCTTCCTAGGGCTCTGCTGCCTTCAAGTTCATACTTTCTACTCTGAGGGGCATACTATGTTTTGTTTTATTTTCTTTTTGTGGTACTCGAGATTAAAGCCAGGCTTTTGCACTGAGTTACATCCCCAGCCCTTTTTAAAAAATTTATATTTTGAGACAGGGTCTCATTAAATTGCCCATGCTGGGCTTCAGCTTTTGATACTCTTGCCTCAGCCTCCCAGTGTGCACCACCACACCCAGTTTAGTTCATTCTCATTTGAAGGCAATTAAGTAAAATCCTTAAGATAGTTCAATTTTTTTGACCCTGTAACTACAGGGATATATCCTAAAGGAATAAAGTTCTGAATAAAGATGGCAACAGACGGGGTGAAGTGTATGTCTATAGTCTCAGTACTTGGAAGGCTGAGGCAGTAGGATTTCAAGTTCTGAGCCGAGCTTGGGCAATTTAAAAATTTAGTGAGTCCCTGTTTTAAAATTTTAAAATAATTAAGGGCCAGGGATTTAGCTCAATAATGCTGCCACCTGCCTCAAAAGCTCAAGGACCTGAGTTTGATCCCTGGTACAAAACAAACTTTTTTTTTTGTTTTAAACAATTAAAGAAGACTGAGGAGAGGTGTGGCGGCACACACCTATAATCCTGGCACTTGGCAGGAGCCTTGAAGTTCAAAGCCAGCCTGGACTACATAGAGAGACCCTGTCTCAAAAGAAAAAAAAGACTGGGGATGTACCTCAGTGCAAGGGTTCAATTCTTAGCACAAAAAACAAACCACAGGACCAGAGATGTGTGGCTCAGTGCTGCCATACCTGCTTCACAAGCAAAAGGTCCTGAGTTTAATCCCCGGTACCAAAGCAAGCAAACAAAAAATCCCCAAACAAATTTTTTAAAAATAATTTTAAAAACAGTAAAAATAATGAAATATAGATGGAATATTGTATAGTCATTAAAAACAATGTTTAGGACTGGGGATTTAGCTCAGTGGTGTTGCCGCCTGCCTTGCAAGGGCAAAGTCCTGAGTTCGGTCCCCGTACTAAAAAAAAAAAAAACAAAAAAAAAACCCCAACAATGTTTATGCTGGTGATGTAGCTCAGTGCTTCTCCAGCACATGTAAGGTCCTGGATTCCATCCCCAGTACTAGGGGGGTGGTGACATAAGAGGAGTTTTTAATAACATGGAAAAATAAGTTTAATATAAGTTTGTGGTTGTTCAGATAACCTCTGAGAAACTTTGAAGATAAATAAAATACAAGCAGAAGTTAAATAGTGGTACTCTGGCTAGGCATGGTGGTGCCTGTAATCCCAGCACTCAGGAGGCTGAGGCAGGAAGATCACCATGAGTTTGAAACCAGCCTTGGCTTCATAGTGAGTTCAAGGCTAGTCTGAACTGCATAGTGAAACCCTGTCTCAAACAAACAAAATATTAGTGGTACTGTACTTTGATAAGCCCTCTCAAGCAGGTGTCTCAGTCCATTTTAATAAGGAAAAATTAAGTAGTAAAAGTAGGACACCCTCCCAGCACTTGGCAGAAGGACTGCCGTGAGTTTGAGGCTAGCCTGGGCTACATAGTGAGTTCAAGACCAGCCTGGAATACAGTGTGACCCTTTCTCAACCCTCCCTCTTTTTTTTCCCCCATTAAGTTTATTGGTACGTTTAAAGCAAACAGTACAGTTACATTTATCATTGGGATCTTGTACCTTTACATGGTATGTCTTGGTTCTTATTTTTTCCCCTGCCCTCCCTTCACTTCTTCCATCTTTCTCTATTTTTTTTTTATTTTTTTAACTTTTTTCCCCCATCTTTCTCTATTTACAAAGACTTTGTTTCCACTTTTTTCCTTTTTTCACGTTTTTCTCTTTTCCCTTATTTCCTTTCCCCTCCCCTTCCTACTTCCCCTTTAGCCATTTTCTTCCTATTGCACACTATCAATTATACCATTTGAACCTTATTTACACTTTTAGTTTTTCACACCAGAGAAACTTTGGTATTTACTCAAGTGTGTCCTATTTATTTCACTTAAGAGTATAGCCTCAATGTGCATCCATTTAGCTATAAATGACTCTAGTTTCTCATTCTTTATATCTGAGTAGTACTCCATTTTATAGAAAAACCTCATCTTTTTTAGCCAGTTTCCATTTGATGGGCATTTGGATTGTTTCCAAGTTTTAGCTATGTCATTAGTTTTACTGTGTCACTGTAAACATGGGTGCCAATATATCACTGTGGTATTATTCTTTTAATTCTTTTGGAAAGATACGCAGCAGAAGGATAGCTGGGTCAAATGGGACCTCTAATCCTAGTTGTTTGAGATCTCTCCATATTGCACTTGATCTTAGCCAAAAGGCCAAGAAGCAATGAGGTATCTCCATATTGATTTCCACAGAGGTTGCACCAGTCTGCACTCCACCAACAACGGAGAAGAGTTCCTTTCTCCCCACAGCCCCACCAACATTTGTTATAGGTTGATTTCTTGATAGCAGCCATTTTTACTGGGCTGGAATCTCAGTGTTGTTTTCATCTGCATCTCTGGAATGACCAGTGATGTTGGACATTTTCTCATATATTTATTTGCTGCTTTTACTTCTTTGTCTGAGAAATGTCTGTTCATTTCAGTTGCCCATTTTTGAATCGGGTCTTTGTATTTGGGGGGGTGTCTGATTTTTTTGAGTTCTTTATGTATTCTAGATAATAGTCCTTTGTCTGAGGAGTAGCTAGTAAAAATTTTTTCCCACATTGTAGGTTGTCTCTTAGCTTTGTTGGTGGTTTCTCTTGTACTGCAAAAACTTTTCTTCTTTTTTTGGTACCGGGGATTGAACTCGGGTCTTGCAAGATAGGCTACCAAACTGCTGAGCTAAATCCCCGGCCCAAAAACTTTTTAATACAATGAGATCCCAGTTGTTGACTCTTTGTGCAAGTTCTTGTGCTGCTGAGGATTTGTTCATAAAGGCTTCTCCTATGCCAATGTCTTCGAGAGTTCTGCTTAACTTATCTTCCAGCAAGTTTAGTGTTTCTGTTTTAATATTTAGATCTTTAATCCACTTGGATTTTAGTTTAGTGCATGGTGAAAGATAGGGATCTAGTTTTAATCTTTGGCAAGTTGAAAGCCAATTTTTCCAACAGCATTTATTAAAGAGGCTATCTTTCCTCTAGTGAGGATGGTTGGCTCCTTTGTCAAAGATGAGGTAACTGAGTATGTCTGGTGTTGTTTCCACATCTTCTAATCTATACCATTGATCCTCGGGTCTATTTCTTTGCCAGTATCGTGCTGTTTTTATCACAATAGCTTTGTAGTATAGTGTCAAGTTGGGAATTGTGATACCCCCTGCCATGTCTGTTGCCTAGAATAGTTTTGCTATTCTAGGTCTCTTCTGGTTCCAAATGAATTTTTGGATTGTTTTCTCAAGTTCTGTGAGGTATACTGTTGGGATTTCACATGGGATTGCATTGAATCTGTATAGCAGTTTTGGAAGTATGGCTGTTTTCACTATGTTGATTCTTCCTACCTAGAAGCAAGTCAACCCACCCTCTTAAAAAACAAAACAAAACAGGACCCCAAGCCAGACATGGTGCACGTTTTATAATTCCAACACGGGAAAGCCTGAGGCATGAGGATCACAAGTTCAAGTCCAGCCTGATCTACAAAGCAAAACTGAGGTCAGCCTTGACCAAATAATGAGAACTTGTCTCAAAAAACAAAAAGCAAAAACAAAACAAACAAAAACCCCCCAAAAACCCAGGATTTCAGATATATTTATATTTGTCTGTCTGTATCCATGGATCTTCAATCTGTGATTGAACCAACTATGCATGGAAAACATGGAGGATAAAAAAAGCATCTATGGTGAACATATGCAGACTTTTTTTTTTTTGCTTAATAGCATTCCCTAAATATGCAAACATCACACTATTTTACATGAGGGTCTTAGTGTTCAGATTTTGGTATCTGAGGGGGTTACTGGAACCAACTTCCCATTGATTCTGAGGTGTGTATTTTATAACCTCAACTGTGGTTTTTCTTAAGCATTCTGCATTTCATCAAATCTAAGACACTATCAATATTAGGGTGCATTTCCACTTCAGATATATAAAATATGAAAAGGTGTTCGTCTTAGAATTTATTGAATATGGTAATTTATTTCTAAATCAGTGGCCTGATACTTGAGGGAAATCCCTATATCAAGTATGGAGGTATACCTGGAACCTCTGCGAATGAGTGCTGTATTGTCAATTAGGAATTAGCCAGGCGTGGTGGCGCACACCTGTAATCCCAGCACTTGGGAGGCTGAGACAGGAGGATTTCTGTGAGTTCGAGACCAGCCTGGGCTGCACAGTGAGTTCTAGGTCAGTCTCAACTACATAGTGAAACCTGATCTCAAAAAAACCAAAAAAAAAAAACAAACAAACAAAAAAAAAAACAAAAAAAAAGAATCAGTGCTCCAGGGCTGGGGATTTAGCTCAGTGGTGCTGCCACCTGCCTCACAAGCACAAGGTCCTGAGTTTGACCCACAGTACAAAACAAACAAACAAACAAACAAAAAACCCAACCACAGACTCACTGAGAGAGAAATTAGGAGAACACTTCCTTTCATAATAACATCCAAAAAAATGAAATATCTAGAAACTGCCAAAATACTTCTAGACTTAATTTACAGATTCAGTAGAGTAGCTGGTTACAAGGTCAATATTCAAAAATCAATAGCCTTCTGTACACAAAGAATCTGTGCTGCACAGTCGGGGGATTTAGCTCAATGGTACCATGCCTGCCTTGTAAGCACCAGGTCCTGAATTTGATCTCTGGTACCAAAAAAAAAAAATGCTTCAAGATATTTGTGTAGTACTGTGGGAGGCCAACACAAGAGAATCATAAGTTCAAGTCCAGGGCAACTTAGCAACTTAGACCCTGTCTCAAAATAAAAAAATAAAAAGAAGGCTGGGATATAGGTCAGTGCAAAACCTCTGGGTTTAATTTCAAGTATTTAGCTCCATGTGATGAAATTATTAATGATTTCTTTCTCTTTTTATTTTTTCATTTTCTAAAATTTCATAATATGTGTTATCCTGATAATTAGGGAAAAAAGATTTTTTAAAAGGAATTTTTTTACCTACCGCTGATTTGTTTTGTTTTTTGTTTTTGAGACAGGATCTTGCTATATGTAGTTCAGGCCAACCTTGAACTAATTGCATAATCCAGGCTCAAACTCATGGCAATCCTCCTGCCTCAGCCTCCTGAGTACTGGGCTTTAATGTGCACCACCATGCCCATCTTGAATTTTCTCTCTGGCTTGACTTCATCTAGTTGTCCTCGGGTCCTACTTCTGATAGGGGAGGCTCCTTTAGCTCACTGTTGGAGAAAGGGAACGAGAGGCTGCTGGTGCATGTTGTTTAAACAAAAGGAGCAATTTTGTTCATCTGCCTAGGTAACTAAGGAACCTCAGCATCTTCAGGAGAGCCAAAAGATTGGACAGGCCCTGCAGCAGGCTAGGAACATCATGGTAAGTGCTGATTGGCCTTATACCATTGCTAGGGTCTCCTGTAAAGCTTGAAGATGGAGAATCCTGAGTGGTTAGGAGATGGTGATACTCAGCTGTGATGGTAAAGGCAGGGTCCTAAATCTCCATCCTTTGTGAAGGACTTTTTACTAGGAGCTTGGATTTGGGGTCCGTGGCTTTCCTCCCAAGTTCCCCTCCTTCCTATTTAGGGACTAAATGTTGTCCATCCTGGTCATTTCTCGCTTCACAGCAATCATGGGCGCTAGTCTCTGAAGAGCTCACGACCTTGCTTCACCTGTCCCTGTTGCATGTAGAAGAAGACAAAACAACTATCAGTCAGGAGGTAAGCAGATGAGATGGAGGTAGAGACCTCTGCTGGGGCTAAAAGCCAAAAAAGGAAGCAAATACAGCATCTTATTCTTATCTTGTAGTCTAGGTTTGTAGAAAATTTGGTCTCCTGCTGCTTTGATATGTTAAAGAAACTGAAAGTAAAGCTCCAGAGCTTCAAAACAGAAAGGGAGGAGGCAAGGCACAGAGAGGAAATGGCCCTCAGAGGCAAGGATGTGGTAAGGTGCTGGGCATTTGTTCCTGGACATGGGAGGTGTCCAGCTCAGGGCTCTTATAGGAATGCACTTGAGACACAGATGAGTAGCCTAAGAACTGCCTACCCTGGGGAATTAAGAACTACTAAGGTATTGGATGGTTATGGATTTTTGTGCTGTTTCCCTTCTCTATCCTGCATGTCCTTGCAACCTTTTCCCTAAACAGGCAGAGACGGTGCTGGAGGCTTTCTGTGCACATGCCGGCCAGCGCATCAGCCAGCTGGAAAAGAACTTGAAATTCACAGAGGAATTCAGAGGCCTTCTGCAGGAGGCCCAGGCCCAATTGGTAATTTAAGAGCATTTTCTTTCCTGTGGTCTATGGTGACACATTGGGAAAATGGTCACATGCCCCTCCCCCCTTGGCCATCTCCACAGACAACCTTTCCCTTGTAGGTAGGCCTTCATACAGAGCAAGGAGAGCTGGCTCAGCAGACAGTGAATCTGACTTCTACCCTTGAACAGGACTGGACATCCATGCAACTGGATGTAAGCATTTGGGACATTCAGATTTCTCACAGCCAGCCCTGTGAGGAGCCTTGCCTCAGGTGTGCTCTACTGACCTGCTTACTTTCCCTGATAGTACGAGGCATGGACAGCTTTGCTGAGTCGGTCTCGACAACTCATAGAAGAACTCACAACCAAGAGCCGACAGGCCCTGCAGGACCATGATGTTGCAGTTAAAGAAAAGCAGCAGGTACAACCATGAGTGGAAACTGCTTAGGGTCTGTTTTCTTCCTTTGCAGAAGCCTTTCCAATGTGTAATATCATTAGCTTCCTCAGTTGGTCTTTCAATCCTGGCTTTAGAGAATAGCCGGATCCTTTAGTTATACGAAGATTTGAGCCTAATTGTTTGTTTCTTTTGCTTTTCAGCACCTTCTTTTTGAGACAAGGTCTCACTACATAGCTCAGGCTGGTCTGGAATTCACTATGTAGCCTATCTAGGCTATCCTTGAACTCACAATGATCCTCTTGCCTCAACCTCCCAAATGCTGAAATTATATCCCCACGCCTCACTACACTTGTCTCTTCAGTACCTTTTCATTTTTTTTTTCGTAACAGGGATCCAACTGGGGTCCTTGCACTTGTGATCTTCAGTACCTTCTTCACTGGAGCAAGTTTTCTCATGTATCTTTATCAGCTTTATTTTGTGCAGTATTGCTCCCCAGAAACAAGGTTGTTTGCTGTCTTGTTCAGAAAGAGAAGATACACTAGCTGGGTGTGCTGATGCATGCTTATAATCCCAGCATTTGGGAGGCTGAGGCAGGAGGATCGCTGTGAGTTCGAGACCAGCCTGGGCTACACAGTGAGTTCCAGGTCAGTCTCAACTACATAGTGAGACCCTGTCTCAAAAAACCAAAAAAAAAAAAAAAAAAAAAAAAGAGAGAGAGAAAGAAGATGCACTAAGTCCTGGCATTCTTGATTCAGGGAGAATTATAGGTAGAAAACTTTCTTTCAGATTTCTACAGAGATGGAACAAGTCTCAGCCCATTTAGAGGACTGCAAAGGCCAAATAGAACAAATGAAGATGGAAAATAGTCGCTTAGCAACAGGTATGCGCGTGTGTGCGTGTGTGTGTGTGTGTGTGTGTGTGTGTGAGAGAGAAAGAGAAAGAGAGTGAGAGAGAGAGAAGCAGCTGAGCCTGCTAAGGCTTGGAGTATGGTGGTAGAACAAGGAAGTGCCCTGGAGCACCTACTTTGGATCAAAAATGTGAAGATTTTCCTGCTTGATGATGGCATGGTGTCATTAGGATACTTTTGATCTAGATCTCCAGGCTCAGCTGCAGATTCTGGCTGACAAGGATAGCCAGCTCAAAGAACTGCAGAATCAGCACACCCACTGTACTCAGGACCTGGCCACAAAGGATGAGTTGCTCTGCCAACTTAGCCAGAGCAACGAGAAGCAGGCTGCTCAGTGAGTTCCTGTTGGGTTATTGTGACAATAGGAACCCAGCATGTAAGACCAAGCAGGATTTAATATAAGGTCTCTGGCAGATGGCAAAAGGAAAAGATGGCACTAAAACAAATGCACGCAGAACTTCAGCAGCAACAAGATGTTTTGGCCAAGGAGGTGCAGGACCTGAAGGAGACTGTGGAGGTAAGGGAGCTGGTAAACCTCAGGAGTGGGACACTTGCCCGATAGCACTGAGGGGAGGTTTGAGATGATGAACTGGAAAAAGCCTCTGACCAAGAGCTCTAAAATTCCCCACTTAGACTCATTCCCCTACCCTTCTCTTTTGTTCCTTCCCTCCCTTCCTTCTCTCGTCTTCCCAGTTTGCAGACCAGGAGAATCAGGTTGCTCACCTGGAGCTGGGCCAGATTGAGTGTCAGTTAAAAACCACATTGGATGTGCTCCGGGAGCGCAGCCTGCAGTGCGAGACTCTGAAGGACGCTGTAGAGAACCTAAAGTAAGACATTTCCCTTTCTGTGCTTCCCGTAAGTGTTCCCAGAAGCACTTTTACACACCAGAGTCTCTGAGAAGGGAATCGTGACTGTGTGGAGCCTCTGGTTTCTCTCCTTGAATGCAGGGGATTTGGGAGAGGTGTTGGTCTTTGGTCATCTTCCCCATTCCTTATTTCAGGGCTGACCTGGCCAGCACCATAGCAGAGAACCGGGAACAAAACCTACAGAAGACACAGCAGTATTCCCAAGAGCTGGGGGTGCTGACCAAACAACTACAGAGCCTAACTCTCTTCCTACAGACAAAACTAAAGGAGGAGGTAGATCCTGGGGTTCCTTCATTGTATCTTGCCGCTGGGCATGGTGGTGTATGCCTGTAGTCACAACACTCAGGAGGCTGAGGCAGGAGGATCGCCACTAGTTCAAGGCCATCCTTATAGAATAGTCCCCTAAAATCCTGTCCTTGTCCATTTCTGTGACCTTCAGTGACTTTCAGTTACCACAGAACCTCTTCCATCTATCATACCTATTTACATCTCCTACCTCCCTATTATGAACCTTTTACTCCAATGAGGCAGTCTGTACACCACACACATATCCTATCTCCATTCACACCTAGCCTTGGGCTGTTCCCACATCTATTTTCTTTTTTTGTTTCTTGTTTTGTTTTGATACCGGAGATCTAACTCTGATCCTTGTGCTTGCAAGGCAGGTGGTGGAACCACTGAACTAAATCCCCAGCCCCATTTTCTTCTATTATCAGACTGGAAATTCCTTTTCCTTTCCCGCTGAAACCCTCCCTAGTTCACCATCTGTAAAATGTTCCCAAATCATATGGATTCATTGACCTGTTTGCCGCATTTCTCACAAACTTACTCTCCTTTTGCTCTTGTATTGATTTTCCTTGGATATCTGGTCTCTTCTACTAGACAATATTTGAAGAAAGCAGAAATTTAGCCTTGCTTCTTTAGCTTCCTCACATTATACACTAACAATAAATGGTTGATATCTTTCAAAATACAGAGTTAATTAGCTTATTCAACAGTTAAATGTACAACCAAGATTCTGACCCTCTTCCAACTGTGTTCTGAACACAGGAAATGACAAACTATAGTCTAGAAGGAGCCGGGTGTGGTGGTGCATGCCTGTAATCCCAGCACTCGGGAGGCTGAGGCAGGAGGATGGATCGCTATGAGTTCAAGACCAGCCTGGGCTACATAGTGAGCTCCAGGTCAGTCTCAACTACATAGTGAGACCCTGTCTCAAAAAACAAAACAAAACAAAAAAAAATGTCACTATAGTCTAGAAGGAAAACAGATGTGAAGTTATCTTGATACAATCATGGTAGAAGTCTACATAGGCCACTGGGAAAGGATGATTAGTTCTACCCTTCCTTTTTTTGGGGACAGGGTAATTCAGGATACTCTTGAACTCACTGTGTAGCCCAGGCTGGCCTTGAACTTGTGATCCTCCTACCTCAGCCTTGTGAGTACTGAGATTACAGGCATGCAGTACCATACCAGGTACAATAGTGTCTACTTTATAACAAGGCCTGGGTCAGAGAAGTTAAGGTCCCACTCATACAAAATGTGGCAAGTTTGGGAAATGGGAAGTAGCTCTTTTATGACTGTAATAATAGTAGGTATAGGTATATGGAGCAAGGCAAGAGGGGATGGTGACACCATTCTAGAACTGGTAACAAACCATTCCTAAAGGGCGGGCTGTATAAATGTTTTTGGCCTTGTGGTTTCTGTCTGAACTACCCAGCTAGCTTACTTTTGTAGCTCATGGCATTACTCTTTTGTTTAGCAGCCATTGTGACAGTATCTAAATGAATGTGTTTGACTATGTTCCGATAAAACATTATTTGCAAAAACAGTTGGCAGGCCAGATTTGATCTGCAGGCCAAAATTTGCTGCCCCCTCTGCTCAGGAACAGGATTAGGAATACAGGGTTAGGAGCAGAATTTTATTTTATTTTTATTTATTTATTTTTGGTAATGGGGATCCAATTTAGGACCTTGTACTTGTGTGGCAGGTGCAGTGTTACTGTGCTAAATCCTCGGCCCCCAGGAGCAGATTTTTTTTTTGGTACCGGGGATCAAACTCGGGTCCCTGAGCTTACAAGGCAGGCGGCAGAACCACTGAGCTAAATCCCCAGCCCTAGGAGCAGATTTTTGATGGGAGTGGGACTGGGAAAATGGTGAGCTCAGCTTTATAGTAACATTCATGTGGACTATGGAACATTCTGGTGGTTTTTTCACAGGCAGGCAGTTAGTGTTTAGAGCTAGACACTGGGGAAAAAAATCCAATTGAAAAAAAAAAGAGATTGAAGAGTCATTCGTGTGGAAATAGAAGCTCAAAAGTGAATGTTTTTGTGGCGCTCCCAAGGTTGAAGCCGCCCAGGGAAATGGATTAGAGAGTGAAAAGAGGGCCAAGGACTGAGCCCAGAGGGGTCCAATGTTTAAGGAAGGACCTGTGAGTGGAGAGAAGAAATATCCAGAAATGTATGAGGCTTCTGCATGGAGGGTCATGTCCTACAAGAAAGATAAGTTTCTATACTTGATCTTAGCCAAAAGGCCAAAAAGCGATGAGAAAGATAAGTTTATAAAAGTACAATATGTTTTTTGTTTGTTTTTTTTTTTTGTACTGGGGATTTGAACTCAGGCCCTTGCCGCTTGCGAGGCAGGCACCGAACCACTGAGCTAAATCCCCACCCAAAAGTACAACATGTTTAAGAGCACAGGAAGTCATCAGTATCAAACAAGCCAGAAAACAAGCAGAAAAGCATTCATTGTATTTGAAAGTAAGAATGCCATTGGTGAACCAAATGACAGGAATTGTGGTGGAATGGTAGGGTAGAAACCTGAGTATAGTGGGCTGGAGGATCGTAGAGGTAAGAGTGTAGGCTTCTTTTATTCTTTTTTTCTTACTTGCTCTTTGCTCCCTCTCCTCTCCCCGGCCAGTAGTAGCCAAAGAGGAATTTAAGGACTTTTTTGTGTGCTTGTTTTCTTTTTAAATTATTGTTTTAGTGAGCTGTGCATGGTGGCACATGCTTGCAATCAAGAGACTGAGGTAGGAGGATTGCCTCGAATTCATTTCCTGGGCTACCATAGTTCAAGGGCAGTCTGAACTGCATAGCAAGACCCTGACTCAAAAAATGTATTATTTTAGCAAGAGAGAGGCTTAGGAATATAAACATGTTTGAGGAAAGGTGCTAATGAGGAGTTGAATATGGAGTAGCAAGATAGAGTGGGGGGAAGAGCACCCTGGAAGAGGTGTCTGGGAGGACCTGGGAGCTGAGGTGTCACTCTGAACAGAAGCTGATATTTTCCCTCCCTTGTACTTAGGCTGAACCAGAGGGCCTTCCACTGAGCACAGCCGGTGCTCCCGCCAAGGAACACCCTCTGCCTAATGACAATGACTTCGTGGGGAGCAATTTGACGGCAGAGACCAATGAAGGTTAAAGACCCTAGGATTTGGGAGTGGGAAAGCTACTCCTGTTACCTTGAGCTGCTGAAGAGACCTATCATCTCCCAGCTGCCACTGGCAGACCCCCATCTGGATCACCAGCAGGGCCTTTCTCCATGGTTGCTTTTTGTTTGTTTATTCTAGAGGTAGAATCAGCTCCTGTACCCTTGCTTGGAAGTGCCAAGAGTGCTTTCACCCGAGTAGCATCAATGGTTTCCCTTCAGCCTACAGGTTAGGAGGGGCTCCAGGGATCCTGCCTTGTTTCTAGAAAGTCTATTGGTGATAAATAAAGACAAAAGCTATGAGAAGTGCTTTGCTCTAAAAACCTCAATTCGACTTGGGCTCATTTTATTTCTGTCTTTTGGGATCGGTTATGTTCTGGATATTCAAATCCTATGGGTGGGGAACACCAGTAAGAGTCGGTGGAAATAAATTCTATACACCCCTTCCAGGCTGAAGGGCTGCACTTCCATCTAGGACTTTCTCTTTCAGAGACCCCAGACATAGAGAAGAATCTGGCGGAAATGAATACTAAGCTTCTTGAGCTTCACAGCCTGTGTACTCTGCTGCAGGAGTCTAAAGAAGAAGCAATTGGGACTCTGCAGCGAAAAATGTGAGTAGGATGCAGTCTCGATGGCGGGGCAATAAGGCAGCCCCTTATACTAAGGGCACAGTCCCCTCAGAGGACAGGAATGATAAGGAATTCTTCCTGCCCTTAGTTGTGCTTTGCAGGTGAGGCTGCAGGCCGAGGAAGAACAGCATCAGGAAGCCCAGAAGGCAAAGGAAGCAGACTTAGAGAAGCTGAACCAGGCTTTGTGCTTGCGCTACAAGGTGAAGGAGGGGCCTACAAATGGGGCGATGAAGAACTGGGGCAGCTCTACTGGCCCACGGGGAGCCATCCAGAAATCTGGGTGGTGGGGATTTTCCAGCCAGTGCTCTAGTTTTGTCTTTCCCGGGGTCAGACAGACATTTTGCATTATTTAAGAATCAGCCATGGGCTGACCTGTATTCCCTAGCAGACTAGGAGAGGAGTCAGGAACTCCAGCAGAGCTCTCCCACCTCTGAGATGTGCCTTGCCTGACAGCTCTGGGGGAGGAATTGCAGTGGTAGGGTATCAACTGGTCCCACCAGGCCAAGCACAGTGTCGGCACTCTCCTGCCTCCAGGCAGGGGCTGCGAAGAAGCCAGCTCTTGCTCAGTGACTTCTCACCTCCCTCTCTCTGACAGAATGAAAAGGAGCTCCAAGAAGTGATACAGAAGCAGAATGAGAAGATCCTAGAGCAGATAGACAAGAGTGGCGAGCTCATAGTATGTTCCTCATGATGCCCAGCCCCTGTCTTCCATGGCACTGGTAGCCAGATCCCAGACATGCCATAGTTGGTTACCTTGTTCTACCTTTGTCCACAACATGGGATAAGGGTAAAGAACATCTTTAAGTACTATAGATATTTGTTCTCTTTCTCAGAGCCTCAGAGAAGAGGTGACCCAGCTCACCCGCTCACTTCGGCGAGCAGAAACAGAGACTAAAGTGCTCCAGGAGACTCTTGCAGGCCAGCTGGACCCCAACTGTGAGCCCATGGCCACTAACTGGATCCAGGAGAAAGTGTGGCTCTACCAGGAGGTGACTCAGTTAACAGAGGAGCCGGGCAAGCTGTGGGGACCTTAGTCTGTACCCTTACAAATCTGGACTTACCTATAGGTGGACAAGCTGAGGGTGATGTTCCTGGAGATGAAAGATGAGAAAGCAAAACTCATGGTCAAGTTCCAGAGCCAGGTGAGGATTTCCATACTATTCCAGGGCTATTTCCTACCACCACTAGCAAATCGCTGCCGTGTTGCCTCTATCCCACCAAGCTATGCCATTCTTTTAAGCACAGGACTTACGGAGCATATTTGCTTTCTAGAGAAACATCCTAGAGGAGAACCTTCGGCGCTCTGATGCAGAGTTAAAGAAACTAGATGAGATTGTTCAGCATATTTACGAGGTAAAGCAGGGAGGGAGATGATAGAACTAAGGCGCGTAAGGTCCAAAGCCTGGCTCCAGCGGGTACTTATGAGCACATCTTGGTTCCCACTGTACTGAGAGCTGGACCTGACTCCATACTACAGGCTTCTCTGGTTTGTTTTCTCCCTTTGAACTCGGTGGGTGCTTCCAGGAGCTGGGAGCGTTGGGCCTTAGGCTTGTTCTGAGCTGCCTTTTCTGCCTCCTCTCCCAGACTCTGCTGTCCATCCCAGAGGCAGTGCGGAGTTGCAAGGAGCTACAAGGATTGCTAGAATTTCTGAGCTAAGAAACAGAAAGTAGCCAATGGCGGTGGTGTGTGCCTGTAGTTCCAGCTACTGGGGAGGCTGAGGCAAGGACAAGCACCTGAGCCCAGAACTTCAAGACTACCTTGGGCAACATAGTGAGACCCTGTCTCAAAAAGGAAAAGAAACTGAAAGCTGGATTCTCCATCCCCCCCCTTTTTTTTTACTTGCAATACCCTCTTTCCCCAACACAAGAACCAACTGGCCTAGAGCCAACTACATTTAATATTATTTAAATAAAGTGTATTTAATGTACCTCTTCAAGCTTGCTGAATCTTATTTTTGGGTGGGAGGGAGTGGATGAGGTCAGAGAAAAGAGAACTTGGGCACCATTCATACATTTCTTTCCACCTCCTGCTGCACCCAGAGCCATAGCCGTCTGCCCTCCCTTCTGTTGCTTCCCCCAAATACTCTGGGCACTGGACTGCTTGTTCCTTGGCTCATGGCCTGGGGGTAACAGAAAAGGCTCCATTCTCTTACTTTCCCCATCCCCCCTGAGGATTGGCCCAGGCAGACATGGGGTTGAAGACAGAGAAGCTCAGTTCACTACTCTGCCATGAACCTAGGTACCCTGTTGATGCTCTCTCACACCTATCCCACCTGCTCCGTTTGGGTGACTCCTCTGCACCAGACCAGAGTTAATCCCAACCTCCTGCACCGCGCGCGCGTGGCAGAGATGAACGCAAAGCCATTTCCTGCCTCTCGAGGTGGGAGGGGGACAGTCCCTAACAGCCTGGCAGGTTCTGGCAGGAGAGTCGCTCCACTTCGCCACCCCGCCTCCGTGGGCGTAGCCTTACCCCACTCCAGTCCTGGGGAGCCAGGGGCCCGGGGGAGGTGCAGGTCCCGCCCCCCGGAGAGTCACGTTGCTCTGCGGCATCCGCAGCCTCATTAACCCGAGGCAGGGCTGAGCCGCTGCAGTTGCAGAACTGAGTCAGAGCTGCGTCTGTGGCTGCTGCTGGTAACTGACCGCAGGCAGGTAAGCTTCCGGGCGGGCAAGGCAGGAGCAGCTCCTCAGCATCCTGGGCTCCTTCCTTGCCATCCTTGCCCTGCTCCCTGGAGTTCCTGGGTGTTCCTTCTAGGGTTCTCTGCTAACTTCCTTGCTCCTTTCTGTCTGCTTGAAGCCCCAAGGTTCAGCCTCTATCATTCCACCCATTTCCTAGCTCTCTCAACTGCAACTCAGCATTTCCAATATCAAATTTTATGCTGCCTACTGGGTCCCACCCAGATCAGTCTTCCACCCAATTTTTTTTTAAATTTTATTTGTTATTCTGGGTTTAAAAAATTTTTTTTCTCACCCAAGCCATTTTATCTCAGCTTGCTTCTATTCCTTCTAGGCTATGTCCCTCTCCAGCTCTCTTGCCTTCTCTGTCCCCAGGTCTAGGTCCTCCCTGACTGGTTGGCTCACCATTACCAGCGCCTCTCCTAACCTCCTCCTCCTCCCCCTGGCTCTCCCTCCTGTTCTCAGGCTCTCACTATCCCTGCCCCTGCCTCCCCACTGAGTGAGTTGAATGCTCTCTATTTCATACTGTTTGTCTCTCCACACAAATGAAGTACTTCCAAGGCACTGGAGACGTCTGGTGGTGTCACTTCTCCATCTTCACACCTAACTTAGCCTGAATTCCCTTTTTCCCACTTCGCAGGCCTGCTGGAGCCAATCTCTGACACATGGGTGGGGGACAGGTGACAAGGACAGGCAGTCAGGTTTGCAGTATGGAAAAAGAAGAAAAAATTATGGGGGTCCATGACTTATTTGTGCTACTCCTTATCCTGCCTGTTTTGACTCTTTTTTGGTACCAGGGATTGAATGCAGGACCTTGAGCTTGCGAGGCAGACTGCAACACCACTGAGCTAAATCCCAGGCCCTCCTGCCTGTGATAAGTACCTTTGCCTCATTCTGAAGCCCTGGAATAAGTGTGCTTTCCCTAAGGGCCCTATTGAGGATGAGTAAAGAGAAGCTGGCAAGACCAGGGCTTATGCTAACTTCCAGAAGGGGCCAAATTTAATGAAAGAAGGATTGGTGTTTTTAACTGGGCAGCAGTGTTTTTAGTTTTTTGAGTGAGGGTCTCCCTGTAGTTCAGGCTGGCCACAGACTCTTGCCGATCCTCCTGCATCAGCTTCTCAGTGCTGGGATTATAGATGTGCCCACCACACCTGGCTCTGGGCAATAGTTTCATAAAACCTGGAGCTTCAGAAGGGCTACTCACCTCCCCACCCCCAACTTGCATCTTTCCTACAGGCTGGGAAGGGTGCCCACCAGGGACAAAAGGAGAAGTGGGAACTGGGGCCCTAAGCCTGCTAGCTGTCAGATTGGTGCCACTTTGATGCCCAGGACTAGTGCCAAGGACTGCTGCTCTGCTCCCAGCCCCACATTTAGGGGAGGAGGGCATTTGGCCCATGTGGCCAGGAGAGGAAATAGAGGAGGTAGTGGGTGCTGTCTAGTCTTTCTATCTTATCTCCATTTCAGAGAGCTATCACTATGCCCCACTCATACCCAGCCCTTTCTGCTGAGCAGAAGAAGGAATTGTCTGACATTGCTCTCCGGATTGTGGCGCCAGGGAAAGGCATTCTGGCTGCAGATGAATCTGTAGGTAGGTAGAGGCCTGTGCTGGTCTTAGGGAGTAGAGGAGGTCAGGGAGCCCTGGCCAGGGAGAATGGCTGTCCCTACTCTGTTTGCCTCCAGGCAGCATGGCAAAGAGACTGAGCCAAATTGGGGTGGAGAACACAGAGGAGAACCGCAGGCAGTACCGCCAGGTCCTGTTCAGCGCTGATGACCGTGTGAAGAAGTGCATTGGTGGCGTCATCTTTTTCCATGAGACACTCTACCAGAAAGATGATAACGGTGTCCCCTTTGTCCAAACCATCCAGGATAAGGGCATTGTTGTGGGCATCAAGGTACAGCCCCAGCCCTAATTGGGGTTGGCTGTGGAAACAGCTGTGTGTGGGAGGGGAGGCAGGGAGAATCCTACCTGGGGTCAGCCTTTTGCCTGTGTTTCCTATGCAGGTTGACAAGGGTGTGGTGCCTCTGGCTGGGACTGATGGAGAAACCACCACTCAAGGTACACAGTGGGTGGGCTTCAAGGCTGAAGAGATGGTAGGGAGTTGATGGTGGCAGGAGAAGGACATGAGGCTGGTGCTGTGCCTACAGGGCTGGATGGGCTCTTTGAACGCTGTGCTCAGTACAAGAAGGATGGTGCTGATTTTGCCAAATGGCGCTGTGTGCTGAAAATCAGCGAGCGCACACCGTCAGCACTTGCCATTCTGGAGAACGCCAATGTGCTGGCCCGCTATGCCAGCATCTGCCAGCAGGTATGTGCTGGGGTTTGGGTGACCAGAGGGTGCCCTGTGGCTGGTGGGGAGAGCGTTACAGGGCTTTTTCCCATCTCACCTATTGCCTGACCCAAGCTACTCTGCTCTTGCCTACAGAATGGCATTGTGCCTATTGTGGAGCCTGAGATCCTGCCTGATGGAGACCATGACCTCAAACGTTGCCAGTACGTTACAGAGAAGGTGAGTCCACAAATGAGCGCAGGCACACAGTTTAGGGACAGCCTGGCAAGCGTGCCTGTAGTCCTTTTGCTGGCTTAGATGCAGACACCGTCCCCTGGCACTCTTTCATTGTTTTTTTTGTTTTTGTTTTTTGAGACACAGTCTCGCTATGCAGTGCAGGCTGTCCTTGAACTTACTATGTAGCCCAGGCTGGCCTCGAATTTACAGTGATTCTCCTGCCTCAGCCTCCCAAGTGCTAAGATTACAGCCTTGCGCCACTATGCCTGGCAGCACTCTTTCATTGACCCTAGAATAGTCCTTGAAAGTCTATGCCATTCTCACAGTCCATGCCCACCCAGCCCTAGATGGGAAGCTTATAGCAGTAAGTAATGGGATCCCAGACCCTTCAAAAATCTCTTCTGACCTCCAGGTCCTGGCTGCTGTTTACAAGGCCCTGAGTGATCATCATGTGTATCTGGAGGGGACTCTACTCAAGCCCAACATGGTGACCCCTGGCCATGCCTGTCCCATCAAGTATAGCCCAGAGGAGATTGCCATGGCCACTGTCACTGCTCTGCGTCGCACTGTGCCCCCAGCTGTCCCAGGTACTGCTGTTTTCTAACCTGATCCTACGTCTAAGGCCAACCTGAGGCTTCAGGAATCCCTCACCCTGGAAAATAGAGAATGACCAATCTGTTTGTCTCCTTTCCTCCAGGGGTGACCTTCCTGTCTGGGGGTCAGAGTGAAGAGGAGGCATCACTCAACCTCAATGCCATCAATCGCTGTCCCCTTCCTCGGCCCTGGGCCCTCACCTTCTCCTATGGGCGTGCCCTGCAGGCCTCCGCACTCAATGTGTGGCGAGGGCAAAAGGACAGTGCTGGGGCTGCCACTGAAGAGTTCATCAAGCGGGCCGAGGTTGAGAGCTGCGGGTGGTAGGGGTGGTGGGGCAGTGTATGTGTAGTTGGGAAGGGGTGAGCACCAGCAGTTACAGGTGGGCAGGGTTTGACATCTGTGGGCTGGCTCAGCCTGCTCACGACACCCTCTCCTTTTGCAGGTGAATGGGCTGGCGGCCCAAGGCAAGTATGAAGGCAGTGGAGAAGACAGTGGAGCAGCGGCACAGTCCCTCTACATTGCAAACCACGCCTACTGAGGTGTGCTTACCACACTACCATCCTTGGCCCAGCCATCTGCATCTCCTTTAGCCTATAGTCATGGCCAGGGTCAAATAGCCACGCAGAACAGAGATGCCTTCACCCAAAACTAAGTTGTCTTCTTTTTCTCTCCTCCCCTCTTGTCATCCTTTCTCTCCTCTCCCCATTGCTGTACCTGGGACAATGGAATGGGAGGTAGGGAGCTCCTCATGTCTGAGGGCAGGAGAGCTGCTAGAAGTCTGAGCAGGGTGCCTGGGTATTCCTCCACCTCCACCAGCCCTCATAATTTCCCCATGATGATGTAGCTTCTCCTTGGGCTCTCCTTTTGCTGGCCCTCTCTCTGGGATGAGAAGGAAGTACACCAGCCCTGACTCATGCCTTGAGTACATACCATTTAGGAAATAAAAGGTAGCAAAACATGCTACTTTGTCTGTTTTACATACCAAATTCCCACCTCCTGTTTTCTGATCTCTGATGATTCTGTCTCTGGGTCCTCTGACTGTGCAAGTGGAGAGGGTGGGGACTTGAGTTTTACTAGGTTTCAAATTTATAGAGGAAGGGTGTACCCAGCACCATTCCTAGCTGAGGCTCTTGCCTGTTGATGTTTAAGGCTGGGATAGGGCAATGGGGAGGGGGAGGGGGAGGGCTGGAGTCTTCTAGGGACTGCCACATCCGAGCCACTAGGCTGCAGGTACAGAAGGATGGAGTGGAGTGAGATGGGCAACCCCTAAGGCAGATTTTGTGGAAAGCTCAAAGCAGGGTGGCAGCAGAACAAGCTGGGGTAAGGTTGGGCAGGAATTTGACACATCTCAGCAGGGTCAAGCCCTACTGGGGCCAGGTGGGGCTGCCACATTGAGGAGCACCTGGGCTCCAATCCAATGAGGAAAATCTCCACAGCTTTGGGGGCTGCCACGCTAAGAAGGGTGTGTAGGACGCTGCCAAGAGCTATGACCCACTCCCACTGGAATGAGGGGATACAAAGGGGTGCAGTTTGAGGGTCTGGGCAAGGGAGGACCTGATGAGGCTTTATGCTAAACTTGGACCACTATGCTGGGTGTAAGGTAGGTTGAGAATCTGGGTCTGTGTGAGCAAATAATACATGATGAGAGAACACCTGGATGCAGTGGTGCACACCTGTAATCCCAGCACTTGGGAGCCTGAGGCAGGAGGATCACCATGAGTTTGAGGCCAGCCTGAACTATATAGCAAGAACCTGTCTCTAGAACAAAAATAAAGTTTGAAAAATAAAGACGGAAAGAAAGACGAGAGTACAAGCTGGACATGTTCTGTGTGAACTGGGGAGACCAATGCTCCACCCAGAGAGGCCTGACATTACAAAAGGAGCTAACACATAGCATTTTCTATATGCTCCTGCCAATGTGGTGTTCTAATCCCAGTATATATTAACTCCTTTGATACAACTCTCTATTATTATTCCTATTTTTTAAAAAATCTAACCCAGTGGTGCTCTGTTGCTGAGCTACACCCTCAGCATTTTTTATTTTTTACTTTGAGACGGAGTCTTGCTAAATTAGCAGGGGTGGGCTCTGTAGTAGCTACAGGCATGTGCCACCACACTTGGCCATTCCTAATTTAATATGAGGAAACAGAGAAGTGCGGAAGTCATTTAGGTAATGAGGTGAATCCATATTTGAAACCGAATGGTTAGGATGCAGAGCCTGTGCACTTGAGTTCTCAAGGCTTCTTGCTATTTTGTGATTAAGACAGTCTCGCTATGTATTCTAGGGTGGCCTTGAACTCTCTGTGAAGCCCAAACTGGTTTCCAATTTGCAAAATTCCTCCTGCCTCAGCCTCCAAAGTGTTGGGATCACGAGTGTGCCTCCACACCCAGTAGAGTTTTCAAGATTTAAGTGGCCAGACTTTTCCAAGTTGGAAATAAATTCCAATAAGAATACTGGTGTAGCCAATCACGTTAAAAAGGCACTAGCTTGCTACCTCTGCATCTGAGGCTTGAGGAGACGGTGGCGCCCCAAAGTGAAGCTCTATGATAGGGATGATAAACAACAACAGCTGACATCAGAAGGCTTCCCAGTGTGCCAGGCTCTTTCCGAGCAAGGCCCCATTTACTAAATGTCCCCATTTTTCACATTTGAAAAGTCTCCGAGCTCGCTGTGGTCGCCCAGCTAGTATTTAGCAACAGTAGAACTTGCGCCCTTCACCTACCGGGATAGCACTGTTCCACTCACCTCCGTAACCTTTCAAACTCTCAGTGCAGCTCCACTCCAACTCCGCCCACCCCGGCGGCTTTCTCCCGCCTGCGTCCGGAGTGCTGTTCTCGATTGGTCTCGATCACTGCCGTGATCTCGTACTCTCATTGCGTGTTTTCTGATTGGGGGAAGTTTACGTAGCCCCCGCCCCCTCGCGCCTTGAGCAGCCGGAAGCGAGCATGGCGGCCGCCGGCGCTGTGGCTACCGACATAGGTGCGGTGGGCTTTGGGAGTGAACTGTATCTCCGGAATTGCAAGGGAGGAATGGAGGGGTAGGGATTGAGGTATGCTAGAGATCCTGCAGTCGAGATCGGGGGTTGCTTCGTATGGGATACTTAAGACCTGGGGCTGGGGTCTCTAGCACGGGAATCTCTGAACGCGGGCTGAGGGTCTCTGAGGACCGGTGGTCCCGGCTCCTCCGCGTCAGGGGTGCAGCTGGCGGCCGAGCCCGTTTCCCGCGCCTCAGTCGGTCCCCTGTTGTCCCCAGAGGTGGTCCGGGGCAAGCGTGCCGCCCTCTTCTTCGCTGCGGTGGCTATCGTGCTGGGGCTGCCGCTCTGGTGGAAGACCACGGAGACGTACCGGGCCCCGCTACCTTACTCCCAGATCAGTGGGCTGAATGCCCTGCAGGTGAGACCCCGGTGGGAGAGTGCCCGGGGCAGCCCACTGGTGAGGTGGAGACTCAGCCGATGGCCCCGCTCCTTCCCGCAGCTCCGGCTCAAGGTGCCAGTCACTGTCGTATTTACCCGAGATTCGGTGCCCCTGGACGACCAGGGAAAGCTGCCCTTCACCGTTGTGCATGAGAGAGAGATACCTCTAAAATGTGAGTTTCTGGGGCGTTCACGGCAGCCTTTTGGATCTGAGCTGAGTCTGAAGATGCGTTGGGTAGGAGGAGCATGGGTGTCCTCTAACTTGTTAAAAGAGCTCTTGGAACAGCGTGTTTGGATGGGTACTTTGAATTGTGTCTGTCATTAAGGCAGCAGTTTTATTCATAAAGATAAGTTACGCTACGGGAAGCAGTTGAAGCCTATCAGAGTAGAGCGGAGAAAGTGAAATGTAGTTTGGAATTAAATTGGGTATTCATACAGACCCTTTCAGTTTAACGTTAAACACTAGTGTTAGGCACTTTTCTTAGATACCAGGAATTTGGGGATGAATGAGAAATTGATAATGATTTCAAGAAATTCAGAAGTAGGGGAGAAAGACAAATAGGTAAAAGCAATTACTGTAGAAGTTATAAGAAACAGAGATAATATTGAAGAAAGAGCATTTAACTGCCTGGGAGGAGAAAAAGGCAGAAAAGGTGTTAAGTGATGAAATTTTTAAGTTGGGTTTTTTTTTTTTTTTTGCCATACCAGGGATCAAACTCAGGACCTTGCACTTAGCAGGCAGGCAGAGAGCGCCACTGAGCCACATCCCTGGCCCTAGAATTAATTTTTTTTTTAAGTTGAATCTTTAAAGGATGTGTAGGAATTCAGGTTATATGAAAAGAAAAGAGAGAGAGATTGGGGCAGAGGAAATAGCATGAGCCAGTAAATAAGGATAACTAGTTTGTCATTGCTTACTGTGTGCCTGAAACTTCACATGTATTGTGTCATTTAATCCTCTAACTTTGTGGTCCCCATTTTATAATAAAGGAACTGAAACTTAAAGAAAGTGTAACTTGTCCATGATCACACAGTTAGTAAGAGATGGAGCTGGGATTAGATCAAGGCCTGACTGATTCCAGTGTTCAGTCTTTTAACCAACTTGACTATACCTCTCCTGTATAAAAGCATGGATATGTGAGTTAGCAAGTGGAGATCTATGAAGTTTTACCTTACTAGAGTGGGAAATGAAATGCTAGGAGTGACTGGAATCCAGATTGTGATGTGCCTGTGTGCCATTTATTTGTTTGTTTGTTTGTTTTTTGGTATTGGGGAGTGAACTCCGGTCTTTGCGCTTGCAAGGCAGGCCACCAAACCGCTGAGCTAAATCCCCGGCCCCTCTGTGTGCCATTTATAACTTTATAACTTACTATAACTTCAGTCAGTACATTTTTTGTTGAGATAGAGTCTTGTTGCATAGGCTAGGCTGACCTCTAATTTGTGATCCTCTTGCCTCTCAGCCTTCTGAGTTCTGGAATTACAGGCTTGAACCACCACACCTGGGCTTGGTCAAGGCATTAAAAAAAACAATCATATTTCATGTGGTTCAGCCAAATGTACATTTTGTTTTTCTGAACAACAACAACAACAACAAATGTGCCATACCTCACATGTTAGTTTGCAGTTTGATTATTTTCAGTTTATCATGGACTTCTTCATATTTGGCAGTTTTCAATAATATGGGAATAATACCACCAGGCGTGGTGGCGCATGCCTTTAATCCCAGCACTTGGGAGGCTGAAGCATGAGGATCGCTGTGAGTTTGAGACCAGCCTGGGCTACATAGTGAGTTCCAGGTAAGTCTCAACAACATAGTGAGAAAAAAAAAAATATGGGCATACTGTGTAGGTGGTGTACAGTGACTGAAAGCATGGGATGTGGTATGAAAGAGCTGGATTTAAGTCTACTTTTATTCAAGTCTTGTTGTGTGAATAGGGTCATTTATTTATCCACCAAATATTTGAGTGCCTATATCGGCTACTAGTGTAGTTGCTAGAGCAGTGAACAAAACAGGCAAAGAAGAGGACAGACAATACAAAGATAATAAACATCGTATGTTAAGTGGTGATTAGAAGAACAGAGCAGGGCAGGGCAGTAGAGATGTTATCTTGGGATTGGAGTTTTATGTGAAATGGCCAAGGAAGACTTCATCAAAAAGAGGACATTTGAGTAGAGACATAAAAGGTGAGGGGATACTCGGCACATATCTCGGGGAAGATCTTCTTGGCAGAGGAAAAAGCAAGTCTAAGGTCCTAAGGTCAGAGTAGGTGAGATATCTTTTTTAAGGAACATGAAAATTTCTTTGTGGTGGCTAGACTGGAGAGAGAGGAAATGAAATAAAACCAGAGCAGTAGAAGGGGACCAGATCATACAAGACCATGGTGAGAAAAAAAAATTTTTTTTTTTTTGCGGTACTGGAGATCAAACTCAGGACCTTGCATTTGCCAGGTAGGTGCAGTGCATTCCCAGGCCCTATTAAGGCTTTTTAAAAAAAATTGAAAACATGACTACCATTATCACATTTCAACAAGTTAGCAATAATCCCTTAATACTACCTAATTCTCAAGTCTCCATTTAGATTTCCTAAGTTATCGCAAAGATGTTCTTTTATAGATGTTTTATTCTAATCAGAATACATTTCGTTCTGTCTTTTTTCTTCCTTCCCATAATGTTTTTCCTTTCCTTCCAGACAAAATGAAAATCAAATGCCGTTTCCAGAAGAATTATCGGAGGGCTTTGGACCATGAGGAGGAGGCTCTGTCATTGGGCAATGTACAAGGTATAGGAAGGAGTGATTGTACCATTTGACCAGAAGCCGTTCCCTCTCCCTCTCCCTCTCCCTCTCCCTCTCCCTCT